GGCCTTCATCCAGCAGCGGACTGATCGTGGCCGATTGATGATGATAATGAATGTTCCCACTCCTCGTGTGTGTGGGACAGCCCGGGAGGGACAAAGACACCCCCCCCCCCCTCCACCCCGTATAGCTTAAACAGACTTTTGGGGATGTTAGCGAGCACCTATGAAGGACGGTACGGGTCACGAGGGGGTCGGTGGCCAATGATTACACACCGCACCAGGTACTTATTTGAGGCTGAGTCCAACTAGGGGAAGCCCAGGACTGGTTTAGATAATCGCCACTTGTGTTGACCGTGAGCGGGAATTGAACTCGGGTCGCCGGGTTCGTAGCACACAACAACAACAACAACCGCCGTTCGCCACTAAGTGGCGGTGATGTCACCACGACGCTTGTGCCAGGCCACAAACGCACTCACACACTCACTCACACACTCATAAAGACAAAGATAAAGATCCCCCGTATAGCCTTAACAGATTGTAGGGGCAAGTGATGTTAGCGAGCACCTATAAATGCCGGCACGGCACACGAGGGGGTGGATGGCCAACACCACGCCCGGCCGCCTTTGTCTCCTATAGTGGCGATGTTTACACACTGCACCAGGTACTCATTTTAGGCTGAGTCGACCTAGGGGAGGCCCAGGACCGGTTCAGATAATCGTCACTGGTGTTGAATACACCAGTGACACTCACACACTCGCTCACTCACACACTCGCTCACACACACACACGCTCACTCACACACTCGCTCACACACACACACTCGCTCACTCACACACTCGCTCACACGCACACACGCTCGCTCGCACACACACTCGCTCACACACACACTCGCTCACTCACACACTCGCTCACACACACACTCGCTCACACACACACTCGCTCACTCACACACACTCGCTCATTCACACACTCGCTCACACACACACTCGCTCACTCACACACTCGCTCACTCACACACTCGCTCACACACACACTCGCTCACTCACACACACTCGCTCACTCACACACTCGCTCACACACACACTCGCTCACTCAAACACACAAGCGGCCCTAGGTGTGCAGCTGCAAGAAAACAGCTGAGTCGCGTGAAGTCTGGTGGGAGGATGGGGGGGTGTTGTTGGGGGGGGGGGGGGTGGTGTGAGACGTGTGTAACTCCACGACATCATCTCGCCAACATCTCAGCAGACAAAACCATTTTCTCGCTCCCGCCCGCCCCCGGCTTTAAGCGCGCTATTTACAGAACTCGTACTTTAGATCCCGGCCCGGATTACGGGACGCGCCCCGTGCCAGCGAAACGATACAAAGCAGCAGTAGCAGCAGCAGCAGCAAGCAGCAGCGCCTTGGATACTTTCTCTCTAAATCGTTCTTCCTCCGGTAGAGAGATAAGGAGGTTAGGAAGCTCCCCGCTCGTCTCAGACAGTCACGGCCCGCCGCTCCACGCGAAGCAACATCGCAGAGATAAGGGACGGATCGGGGAGGGCCGGACAGGCTGCAGTGGAGGGGCAGCCAGACTCAGGACACCTTCGCGGGGGAGGGGGCGGAAGGTGGAGCGGGGGGTGGGGGGACCCTCTCGTTACAAGTACCCACAGCAGCGGTCACGGCCGAGCGGCGCCCATCAGCGCCACAGATAGAAGAAGAATCACAACAACGGCGGCGGAGGGGAGGGAGGGAGGAGAGCGGGATCCGGGGGCGTGAGACTGGATTCTAACCGGGCGGCTGTGGCTGCGGGGCAGCAAAAACGCAGAGCGATGCGGTCCCCATTCCCTTATCCTCTGCCCCTACCTCTATGTCCCCTTCATCGGTCTATAGCCTTGCCCCCTATGACCTTGCTCTCGTCCGAGCCATGCCCCTGACCACAACTCCGTCCCTAATCGTAGCTTACCCCTCTGCGCACGCCGTCCAGAGCCCGACTCCTGTCATTGCCCCCAAAGTGCTGCACAACCCCTGTTCCTAATATTGCCCGAGGACACTGCCCCAACCCTTGCCCTGCACACAAGCCAGCCTTGCCCTGCCGGCCTCTACTCCCCGTGACACCTCGCCGCACGGGAGAGAGAGAGCGAGAGAGCTGTGAATCACCGCTGTGGCGAGGAGAGGGAGGCGTAGGAATCGATCAGGAGCAGGATCAATTCGGAATCGATCAGGAGCAGGATCAATTCGGAATCCCGGCAGCGAGAAGTCCCAGCGCCCCAACTCGTCGGCGCCCCAGGCGTGGCGCGCCCTCTCGTGGCGCGGAGCGGGTCACGGTGCGCGCGCGCGCGCGCGATGTTGAGAGCGATATCCCCGGCAGCAGTGACAGTGTTACACGGTTACAACTTAACACGTAGGCTTTCGCGACCAATATTATTCAGCATCATCGGGCAATTCTGGCTGGATGTAATTACCAGCGAAACGTCGTACTCAGAATTTTAAATGTTGATTCACTCTTCATCAACACACCGGTGGGCTAAATTAGTGAGCTATTTGTCCTTTGTAAACGTGACACATTTTTTACTGCTCGGCCGTGTCGGGTGGTGGAGGGCTACGACACATTTATAAATAACGCGATCTAACCCAAGAACCTTTATTATGGATGATTACAACTATTTTTTACAAATTTTACCAGGTAAGGCCCACAGCTATGTAGCTATTTAAAAAAAACCCACAAATGACATCTCAACGAAGTGGCTTATCACGTCCAAATGTATTGCAGCCAAATGTTTTAAATGCATGTTTCTAAATGTTACCTTTAATATAATTTGTATAGCGCCTTATGCAAGACGCTTTCCACATAATTAACAGTTGGTACATATAAATGTAATGGTGGAGATGAGGTGAATGAATCAGATGAGAGGAAGCAATGGGGAGGGAAATATGGGATGCGTTAAATCGGTGAAAGCGAAATTGATGGCAGTAAATGATGGATTGCATGAATGGGGAATGAGTGAGAGCCATGTGAGAATATGGAAAAAAAAATAACGGTGGCGGATACGCGGTGGAGATTAGGGGTTGTGGGGTGAGCTGTGGAATATCAGCGAGTTTTGAGTGCGGAGCGGGAACTAGTAAGCGAAGGTGATTGTTCAATGTTTAGGGATGAAGTTTGTCCCAGCGAAGGGAGGCAAGAAGAGAGGAATAACGAAAGCGAGATTGAGCGCAAGGAGAAGAGGAACAGAGAGAGGCGGCAAAGGTTGGTGAACGTAGAGGGGCGAGAAGGGGACGCGTAGAAAGACATTGGCGTGGCAAGATATGGTGGGGCAAGACCATGAAGGGATTTGAAGAAGAGTGTCAGGAATTTGAACAGGCGACGGCAGGAGACAGGGAGCCAGTGCAGTTGCACGAGGAGGGTCGAGATCTGGGAACTGTCGGGAAGGTTGAATAAGAGCCGAGCAAGGTTGTTTTTTTGTTTGTTGAAGGGGGGGGGGGGGGCAAAAGAGTGAATGGGCAAACCGAGCGTGAGAGAGAGGGTTAAGGGAATGGATTAGATGCCTTGCAGCAGAGGTGGATATAAGCGATCGGGTTTTGCGAATGTTGAACACATGAAACCGGCAAGCACGGAGAAGGAAGAGTCAATACCAAGGTAGCGGGCTGGGGAAGTCAGGGAAATAGAAAAAAGGACAAGGTAGCGGGCTGGGGAAGTCAGGGAAATAGAAAAAGGAAATGTGGAGACAAATCCACGCGACCACGTGTAGAGAAAACGCGCAAACTCAAAATATACAGCAGCAGGCGTCAGGGTCGGGATCGAACCCACGACCATCCTGCATACCGGGCGAGGGAGTTAACATCTCGCCACTGTGGTGCCCCCATGCACGGTGATATGCAACGCCTGAACACCGCTCACGCGTACAGACGTTCCAGTCCCACTGCCGCATCAAGACGTGCCCACCCCGTGCGGCTCAGTCGCCCATACTCCACGAACGCCGATCGGTCAGGGTTGCCAGAGACATTCAAAGTACAACCCAACAACGTACGACGCTGTACTGCCCTCTGCTGCCCGAATTGTCGCAATCCCCGCACCCCACATGGGGTTAACAGAGGCGTGTAACGCGCACCAAGTCGTACAGATGTTGAACTTCTTTCGCACCGTCCGTAACCAACCATTCTACTCGGTGACGCTCACTATAGATGCATCAAGTCGCGTGCGCATGTCAACTATAATCAGCCATGATCTATCCACTGCTTGATGAAGGCCTGCCCCCCACACAAGTCGTTGCCATCATCCCTAATGTCCCTGCGAGGCCTTAACCCCGTCTCGACCTTCCTGCACATAGACCGATCTCGAAGGTCCATCTCCACGGCGGCCGTCCTCTCGAGCGTCAAACCACACAAGCAGGAGGTCGACAAGTGTCTGCATTGAAAATTACAAAAGCACGGCCAGTCCGTGCATGTTGGGCAATGTTTGCTGTACTGCATTGAACAGATCCCGCACAGCGAGCAGAGGGCTCTTGCCTGTGAACTAATATCACTCCAGCAGCACTTAACCGGTTGCTGATGAGACTCCCAAGAGTAGAATCTTAAACCAGCTTACGACTTAAATGAATACGGCTGGGAAACACTGGTCTAACAGGCGTGATGGCCCTAATGAGAATAATAACAGTACTCTCCCTACCATCAGAACACCTACACGTATGCTCACCATGTCCACGTTTATCTTATATTCACACAAATTAGTTTGAAGCTGTGTTGTTGTGTTTTTGTGTCGTGCCCTTCTTCAGTGTTACTGTGCATTTGAACGATTAATAAAATATTGCTTTACGAAAAATAGTTTACTGAAATTCTCGAATGGCAAGACAATCTTCTTTGGTTCTTTCGGTAAAGTTACGTAGAATGAGAATAAAAGAATAAATTGATAAAATAAAATAACACAATAATATTCTCACGACGTTTCGGCCACAACACAAGCGGCCTTCATCAGGTGAAGGGACGAGACTGTCTGGTAGGACAATCGTTTGCTCGTCTTGTGGACGGCGCTGGTGCCCGCCAACAGCGCGCGGAGGACCACGCACACACACACACACGAGAGGCTCGAGTCACGACGGATTTCGGGATTTTATTCAAAGCTAACAAAACACAGCGACGACACAAAAGCACCAGGCGCTTATTTCACACACTCATCAGCAGCAGCAGAGCACGGGAGCTTGCTGCGGCACTCTTCATACGCCGCTGCCGCCGCTCTCGAAAACAACGCCGCACCACATCCACGGCCTTCGGCAGTGGCAGCAGCGGCGGCAGTGGCAGGCGGCAGTCTGGCCAGCAGCGTCCACTGTGGCGCGAGCGACGAGAGTTGGTCCACTCGCCGCGCAGCGGACCGGGCCGACTGTGGAACCGGCGGATCGAGTGGATGACGATGGAGCTAGGGAATTGATTGGTAGACGGTGCTATTTGTGAGTGAACAGGCCAGTAGTTTGTCGATGAAGACCAGTTGACGGTGGATTTTGTGCACGAACCCAAATGCAATGAGCGATAACTTATTGGCGTCCTATTGGCTGGAGAGAGTGGCATTACTTCACAGCACCTTTGCAATTGTGCGAATTATTCCAAGAGGCGGGTTTTACGAGCTTGCGAAGGCTCATTGTATTTAGCTCGGACACGTCGAATTATTCAACGTTTGCCATCGTTGTTCCGCACCGAAACTGTATAAAGTACTTTGCACCCCAGGTCTCCTTTGTAAAAAGAGACTTCCGTCTAAACATGCGAAGAAACCTGGTTACAAATAAAATTCACGCGAACGATCGTTTACGACAGAGGTCCCGGCATTACACGCACCACGACCGACCGACCGACCACGTGCTCCTCCGTCACACAAAGCGCACGCACAGCGGAGCAGCGCAACGGCACCGGCGACACAACAGAAAGCACGGTTCCACGGGTCGGACTTTTTTTTTTCCCCACCAAAACCTGGCTGCATGATTAGCTTTACCAAAACTTCATTAAAACGCATTTAGGAAAACGTAAATCCACATAAACGAAATAAAACACGGGAGGAAGCCCCGTGCGTGGTTGTACATCCGACACAGGGGCCTGTGGAGAGTGCCGCGGGGGGCGAGAGGGGGGCGAGAGGGGGGCGAGAGGGGGGTGAGAGGGGGGCGAGAGGGGGACTAGCCCGCGCGGCAATAGGGAACAGCAGCGCCCGGCCTCGCATGTGGAGTTGGTGGGCCTCCAACTGAGCCGAAAACATAACCGGGAAATGAGGCGACAGCACCTCGCTCGCCAACCTGCGGCCTCCGACGAGGCCTACACGCAAGCAATTCCGTCGTCGATGACAGAACCTCTCTGTAGAATTAGTTAATGCAGCCGGGTGGCTTACAGCAGGGAGACTTCACTTCGGCTATCACTACTGGCCCACGCGTTACTCCGACACGGCGAGGATTCGCAGCGAGGTGGCTGGGGGCCGTCACGCGTGGGGGGGAGGGGTTCATGAAGGGGTGCGTGGGAAGTGCGGGGGGAGGGTGAGGCACCAGGCTGTGTGGGGCAACGTCACTCTCAATCGCTCTCAGTTGCTGCTCAGGTGCTCGATCTCCTCCTCGGCCAGCGTCTTGAGGAGCTTGATGAAGGCCTTGAACATGCCGGGCCCCAGGCCGTGAGTCACCTGGTTGAAGCGGGAGCCGCGCTGCTGGATGATGTAGCTGTACTCGTCCAGCATGGCGCTGCGTTTGCGGCGGCAGGCAGGGGAGGGGTGCACACGTGACGCGTTAAACGAGCGCGGCCAGACCGAGCCAGACCGAGCCAGACCGAGCCAGACCGAGCCACACGTCGCCGCATTTCAGGCGACGACAACTCGGTGACCTCGAGTTTCGAAAGATTTGGTTGCTTTTCAACCACACAGCAGAGGGGGAATTGCTTTGTATGTATATATGAACAAAATATATATTTATCCTGGAGAAATCCGATGAGCTGTGAAACACTTTTTCAGAGATGTCCAGTAGGGGTGGGTCAGAAAGTTAAAACAATAAACAATACAGTGCAAAGAATAGGAAAGTTAATGAAATCACTCAAATAAATAACCTAAAACTCAACTATTTTTTATGTTACTCATTGTTTTTTTCCGGTAAAGTCACGTATGTATTAAAATTATATTGAAATAAATCAATCACGACGTTTCGACCGCAACACAAGCGATCTTCATCAGGTGTAAAAAACAAATAGCGAGGGAGCACAAAGGGTGACATCAACGCAACACATAGAGAGCGTTAAACTGCACGGAGGTAAATACAACAAGAAGATGAGAGATGAGAATTCAACAAACCTAAGAAAAATTTACGTGATGCAAAACCAGTCGGCCAACGACACAGTTAGACACTTGCCTGGCAGACCACGAATTTCAGAAGAGTGCTAAATTTCGTGTTCATCCTCTGGGTTGAACACACCAGCATAGACAGAGTGAACAAATACGAGTTACAAGGTATCAGAAATACATGTACACAAGAGGTAAGAAGAGGAAAGACGGATAGAGAAGCAAGAAAAAGGGGCCGAAGGGATGAACAGACAGAGGCTTAAAATAAGCAGTAGAGGTGGGGGGAGGGGCCGAAGAGAGCAAGGGGGCACGGCAGCAGCAGCAGAGGGGGGAGGGGCAGGAAAATATCAGGGGGCGCAATAGGTTTAGGACAGAATTGTAAAGGTGACTTCCCCGTAGAAGTGGGTTAATATAGAATTAAAGCTTTCGTGACTGCATAAATGACTCATTGGTTTTGTCGGTAAAGTCAGTTTATGAAGTAAAATTATATTAAAATCAATCAATCACGACGTTTCGACCGCAACACAAGCGATCTTCATCAGGCGTAAAAAACAAATAGCACATAGGGTGACATCAACGCAACACATAGAGAGCGTTAAACTGCACGGAGGTAAATACAACAAGAAGATGGGAGACGAGAATTCAACAAACCTAAGAAAAATTTACGTGATGCAAAACCAGTCGGCCAACGACACAGTTAGACACTTGCCTGGCAGACCACGAATTTCAGAAGAGTGCTAAATTTCGTGTTCATCCTCTGGGTAAGGCCCACTGAGCTATTAGTTTCTTTTCAGAAGCAATCTTGCCACAAATTATAGCCGTGTTAATCGTTGGTGCGGTTTTCCTCGGATAGGGCGGTCCCGTCCATCAGAGCACATGACAGCTGTCCAATCACCAGCGGCGAGGCTAATTCCCATGGGCAAACAGGCAGGTGGTGCTCTTACACGGTGCTCTGCAGCTGCGATAACCGCACGACGGTGCTGTCTCCGTGCAGGTCCTGCGCATGTGTGGACACGATGAGCTTGCGCGGGACGTACTGCGCAATCAGGAACTGCATGTCCTCCACCAGGTCCTTCACCTCCCCTACGACCGGTAAAAGCGGCAGCAGTGGCAGCGGCTGCAGCAGCAGGGCACGGGGCTCCAGCAAAGCATCGCAAACGCGGTCGAGGGAAACGGCGCGCTCCCAGACGGTCGCAGTGATCACCGCAGGGTTAGGCGGACGGCCGTGCCAAGTGCGGATCACACAGAGGGTATCCGAGCTCCCCACAGGCCAAGCCATGGGAGGGAACTCGATGAATTATTTTATTTATTTTAATGTTTCCTTACGCAGGAAATCCCGATTGTCACGACTCTTTTTCAGGAGGCTCCTGCCAAGTTTCCGCAGGAGAGGGCGATTTATTTGCCGTGTATCATTTCAATTGAGTAACTTGCCGCGTATTTTTTCTAACTTGGCGAACTTGGACCATGATGCCGGCACACATTGGCCTGCTGTTTCGAATGACGTCACGGGATCTTTAACGTTCACAGACGGTGTGTAGTACTATCAGGGCTATTACACACCGCAGTATGTATGTTCAAATTCTTTCGCACAGTATGAGGCCATCCGTGCTAATCGGAAGTGCGGTGGAAGGACAACAAACTAAACACAACTTCTAAAGAAATTAGTTTTCAATTCATAATAAACAAAAGATATATATTATAATCAAGGCGGCCTCCAGGTTCGAACCGTGAACCTCCAAAGAAGCGGCTATCACGGCTGCGGCTGGGCCATGGCGAGAGCGGCGGAACGGACGGCCGAGCTGCTACTGCGGGCCTCGTGGCCACGTGGCCAAGCGTCCCCGTACCCTCGCAGAGCTTGGTGAGCGTGGTGACCACGCCGGAGCGCGAGTTTATGGGGAGGCCTTTGTCCTGCAGCTCGGCGCGCACCACGGCCAGCGCCGTTTTGCTGTTGCGCAGGTACGAGTTGACGCAGTACGGGGAGAGGCGCTCCGGTGACACCGACCGCCTGTTGATTTCCGCCCACGTCACGTCGTACCTGCAAAATCACGCCACACACGGACACTCGCCTCGCACCGTTTGCAAACTGACAAACGTGCGTTTTTCTACGAGCACGAGCAGTATAACAGCGTAACCAATCAGCAATCTGGGCCCTCTACACCAGTGATTCTCCACTCCCAATGCTTGTGACCACCACCCCCTGCCCAGCCCCTCCCGCCAACCTACGGTTCACGCTACATGCCCCTGGTCGATAATCACGGTGAGCTGGCCTATATTAACCAAAGATTTCCAGTGGAAGGTGTCTGCACAGGCAGACTCTGGACTTGTTTGGGCTTTCCGAGTTGCATCAGTAAATGAGGCCTTCTGTATGTATATAGAACTTCTTTTGCACTGTACATAGCCAACCATGCTAATCGCTATTGCGTTTTATGATGTCATTTGAATTAAAAAGAAGATGTAGAGCCCCATTGTGACTCATCTGAGCCCTGTACCCCCCCACCAACAACCCACCCCCAACACCACCCCCCCCCCACCCCTCCGATTCACGCACGGCCACACGCTCACTTCTTCTGTGGCTTCCCCTGCGAGATGTGCAGGAGGCTGTGCACCGACGCGCACACCCCCGGCGGCGCGGCGGCCTCCTCGGCCTCGGGCTGCGCCGGGGACTGGCGGGGGTTCGACGCCTCAGCCAACGGGACGAACGGGAGGTTGTCGGCCCAGCTCACCGCGGCCGACGACGGTCCGGCCACCACTGCTGCGTTGACGACCGCACCGGCGGGAGACAGAAGAATAAAGACATGGAGAGGGGGAGAGAGAGACAGCCAAAGACAGAGACACAAAGGGAGAAAGAAAGAGGGACAAGAGAAGACTGAAAAAAGAAGAAATGGAGGGGAACAGACACACAAAGGGGGACACTGATAGAGACAGGGAGACAGACCGAGCCAATCACAGAGAGACTTCATAGTTTGGTGAAAAATACATTTTAAAAATATTTGGCTTCAAATTTAAACAGCTAGTTAGGTATTGGATAATCAGTGCAATTCAGTGCACCCCAAGCAAAAATACATTCACGAATCAACCTGTGGCTCAAACATCCAGGGACAAGCGGAGGAGACGGTGGTTTAGATCCTCCCCGCCGCTCACCTCCGGGCAGCGAGAGCGAGGCGTTAGCCAAGGCCATGTGGTGGTTCCCGTGGTAGGCAAACTGTGCAGCCTCCTCCTTGATGGACATGAACCTCTTTGAGGGCGACTGGGCTGTGGAACACACGAGGCGCGTTAACGAGGTGCGTTAACAACTAGACGTGTTAACTAGACGTGTTAACTAGGCAGATTAACAACTAGCCCTGTTAACTAGACGTGTTAACTAGGCGGATTAACAAATAGACGTGTTAACTAGAGGTGTTAACTAGGTGGATTAACAACTAGACATGTTAACTAGACGTGTTAACTAGGCGGATTAACAACTAGACGTGTTAACTAGGCGTGCAAGGAAGCTTCGATTAATCGATTAATGAAGATGCTTAAAGCTCGTGATGCACGCCTTAACTGCATACGCAAACCATCAATGATTCGCAAATTATCCAAACGATAAGCTCGCGTTACATTTAGGCTAATGGGGTTAACACATCTACACAAACAAGACAGAGAAAATGGGAAACAATACGGGATCAAGTGGCGATCACGAATTGTGACAATTCGAATTGTGACAATTTGTGAAACTTGCTGTGGGGCGATGACGCTTAACATGTCTAGTATTGACATAAATCAAACACGTAAACATATGATCACCTTTTCTCTCTTATACTTCGCTACCGAGCACTATAACGGAATGATGCATTTGCACCCCTGGTCTATGCCCTCTCTCCGAGTCTCCCTCTCTCTCTCCGACTCCCCCGTTTCTCTCTCAGCCTCCCTACCAGTCTCCCTCTTTCTGAAATCTCGTACTCTCCCTCCCAAGTCTCCCTCTACGAATCTCCCGCTCTCTCTCCGAGTCTCCCTCTCTCTCTCCCAAATCTTCCTCTCTCTCTCTCCCAAGTGTCCCTTTCTCTCCCCCAAGTGTCCCTCTCTCTCCCCCAAGTCTCCCTCTCTCTCCCCCAAGTCTCCCTCTCTCCCCCAAGTCTTCCTCTCTCTCTCAGTCTCCCTCTCTCTCTCTCCCAAGTCTCCCTCTCTCTCTCCCAAGTCTCCCTCTCTCTCTCTCCCAAGTCCCCCTCTCTCTCTCCCAAGTCTCCCTCTCTCCCCCAAGTCTTCCTCTCTCTCTCCCAAGTCCCCCTCTCTCTCCCAAGTCTTCCTCTCTCTCTCTCCCAAGTCTCCCTCAAGTCTCCCTCTCTCTCTCCCAAGTCTCCCTCTCTCTCCCAAGTCTCCCTCTCTCTCTCCCAAGTCTCCCTCTCTCTTCCCCACGTCTTCCTCTCTCCCCCAAGTCTTCCTCTCTCTCTCCCAAGTCTTCCTCTCTCTCTCTCAGTCTCCCTCGCTCCAAATCTCGTGCACTCTCCGAGTATCCCGCTCTCTCTCTACCCGAGTCGCTCACCTTTAGTTTCCCCGCACTTGAGGCAGAAGCACTTCCCCTCGGCCCCGACCACCACATCGCCCGCACCCTCCCAGCATTTGTCACAGATCACCACGTTCACCGCACCATCCTGTGGGACACAGGGAGCCACCACTTAGTCCAGTGGTCACTGTTGTCAGCGTCCGCCACGTGCTTGTACATGCACAAACACAATCACACCCAAACCTCCGATTAGAATGGTTAGCTACATACGGTACGAAAGAAGTTCAACATACATACATCACACAAACATGGCCACAAATGATAGCTCAACGAAGTGGCTTATCACGTGGAAATGTATAGCAGCCAAATACTCTAAAACACGTGTTTCTAAACACAGAGGGAAAAAAAACCAGAGGGCCCGGAGAAAAATCCACGCGACCACGGGGAGAAAATGTAAACTACATATCTACGGGCTGTCAGGGTTGGGATCGAACCCATGGCCTCCTGTATACCCGGCGAGGTAGTTAACATCTCGCAGAAAAGAGCCGTTACGGAACTGCTTCTGCCATCTTTCTCGCGTGACCTCTCCCCCGCTCGAACTTTGCCACCCACCCCTGCTAGAGAGAGAAAAATATTCGTCTCCCGATGGTCACACCGACCGATATTCTTCACTCGCAGCTGATATGTGGTAAAACCAAGTGGTTCACTGCCGTTGCTTCCTGCTCCAACAACGAGTAGGGGGGGTTATTTACACCCATAAGCCAACTGTGAACATTCCACATTCATATATGACCGAAGAGAGTGAGTCCACGTGGACACGGGAGATATTTAGCATCAGTTTGTACTCAAGTGAGAAAAGTTAAATTACCGCTTGTCCCGAGCTCCCTTCTCTGCTGTCCCCTCCTGAGACACACACACACACAGTCAGACAACAATACAAAGATCACCCGTACAGCCTTTACAGATTGCTTGGTCGAGGGAGATTAGCGAGCACCTATTAAAGTGAACACCAGGGCACGAGTAGGGGGGGGGGGGGGTGTTGGTGTGGCCAGTGCCATGCCCGGCCGCCTTGATCTCCCCGCAGCTCAGGTTCACACACCGCACCAGGTACTCATTTTGGGTTCAGCCGACCTAGGGGAAACCTGGCACGCATTTACTTCGTCCACCACTGCAAGCCATGGCCGGGAACTCGGGCAGCAGGATTCGTGTCACATCCTCGCTCGCTCAACAATGGCCTCCTCTGCCGCAACAGCTCTTGTACCAGGCTAGGTCCACTTCCGAGTCTCCATCCATCCCCACGTATCTCGTATGGTTACGGCTCGGTCATCAACACGCTCCAACACCGCGGCCCGCACGGCCGACAGCCCCTTCTGCTTTGGCGGCAGCGGTGAACATGCAGTTTGCGGATATACACGGTGCGTAAACAGACAAAATAAAACACATCAACGAGTCTCAAGACTCGTTTTGGGGAAGGGTTCTGCCTTGGGACGTTTGGCCACGAATGAATGAGGCCGCCACTCACTCTCTCTCTCTCCTTCCCCACTCACCCGGGAGCATGGCGCTTGCTTTCCTCTTCTGCCTCATCCTGACGACCACCTACGCCAGGGGACACAGAAGAAGAGACCGTGGTGGGTCAGCCGGGTCACCCACCTTGCAGCTTGCCATGGAGCATCGCGGTGCCAAGAGACCCCCCCCTGGATCACAGACCCCGGGCAGGGAGACGTGGTGGACCGGTCTTTGAGAATTTGGACTCAAGAGGACCCACAGGCCGTGACACCGGCACCCAGAGACCCACAACCTCGACTCGCGACCCTGGACCCGCGAGGCACAGAGAGGCAATGTCCCGAGACACCGAGATCAGAGACGGGCACGCGAGCCTCGGGGACCCCTGCACTCGGGCCGCGGGAGAGCCACAGACCCCAGGCCGTGACGCCCAGAGACCACGGCCGCGAGCCCGAACCCGCGAGACCCCGCGCTCGCCACCCATATCCCAGGCCTCGCCCTCCTCGCTGCGCATGGTTCCCGTAGGCGCGAGGCCGTGAGGATGCCGCGAGAGGCAGTGGGGCTCGCGGGCGGGCGGACGAGCGGGGGGGCAGCTCGGCTCCTCGCGCTCTGCCCGAGCTCTCGCCGCTCCTTCTCCCCACAACCCGCGGGGACTTGGCTCGCCGCTGGACCCACCGCGCCGTTTATGCCCTCGGAGCAGCTTCGCCAGGCAAAGCTTCGCGCACGCCGCGGCCTCCGTGCGTCGTGACGTCACCGCGCCTCTCTCGCCGATCCCCACCTCTCTTTGTCCTCAACGAGCGCGGGGGAAGGGGGGGTGAGGGGCGGCCCTGACGTCATCACGTCGGTGTGCGTGGTGACGTCGGCACAGGGGAACGCTCTCACGGGATTTTGCGTCATCTCGGGCAATTTTGGCGACGTCACCGCGGTAAAATAATATTTTGACGTCATCACTCCACCGTGTCCTCGTCTAGATTTGTAGTACTGTTACTCAGTTATTTGTTCTGTAGCGTGCACTATACCCTAATGTGAAAGAGTAGGCCAAAATACACTTCAGAGGGGGGCCCTTTCAGCAGTGGCGTGAGCAGGCAATGGTAGACGGGGCTGCGCCTTTAGCTTTACTCTTCCTGGGACAACCAAGACTCAAGCATTCTTAAATGTTGCTTTATAAACTGCAAAAACGTTTACGCAGGACATTTTTATTTTAAAAAAATTGCGCCGTGACGTCACCAAGCGAGCGAATGAATGATGTCACCTTGCGAAGTGGATGATTTGACGTCATCACGCACCCTTGTGCGCCCCCGAAAGCTCGGGGCAGACCGCGACGTCATCGCGTACGACGAGGTTTGAGAATCACGCGTGCGGGAGTTTTTGTTAACGTCAACACGCACGATGAGGTCACGGGTTGATGACGTCATTATGTACGATGAGATCACGGGATGATGACGTCATCACGCACAGCTCAGACACACGTGGTGGTGGTAGTAGTTGGAGGTGTGAGTGGAAAATCTCACGCCGCTCGCGTTCGGCAGTAGCTGGACTCTACCTCTCGACGCCCGGACCCCAACCCCAGCTCAGCGCGGCGGCGGCGGAGGAGGCAGCGGCAGCAGAGGAGCCATGGCGGAGCCCGCGAGGCTGCAGTTCCACGAAATGGGACTCGACGACCGCATCCTGAAGGTGCGCCGCGCCACGCCGAGTTAGACGAGCCTCGGGAAGGCCGCGGGGTCCACCCCCCCCACGTGTAGCCACCGCGCCTCGGCTCGTGTCGAGCCTCGCGCTCTCGTGGCTGGGGGCGGGAGAGCTCTGCGCTGCGGTCCGCGTCTGCCGCGGTTCAGTGAAGGGGTCGGGGGCGCAGCCCGAGTGAAGGACAGTTCAGAGGGCTGCATGCAGCGGTGGCGTTGTTAGAAACGTGCGTTCAGAGTACTTGGCTACTGCCATACATTTCCACATGATGAGCCACTTCGTTGAGCTTATGTGTGGCCAGGACGCTTCTGAGAAAGAGCGATGCAGGTCAGTGGCCTTACCTGGTCATATAAAACAACTTTTATATAAAACAACGTTTTATGTTTCGTTTTAAGTGAGCACGCTGTGCTGTAAACCAAGGATAACGACAGTGGCGAGTGTTACCCGAGCCGGCCCTGGCCTCTCTCTTCACCGTCCAGCGTGGTGAAGTATGGTCAAACAAACCCTCGCGACCCACAGCGTGAGGAGGTCTTCATCCAGCAGTGGACCGGTGTTTGATTTAATTGCCAGTGTGCGATTTAAATCCCTGGTGAATCGAGTAGCCATCCAAACAGCCACGTGACGGTGGTCTGTGAGCAGTTCGAGCGGAAAGCAAACCAAGGGCCGAGAGTGGTGATGGTGGAGCTTGCTCGTGTGGCTATGGTTAGGGATACTGGCTGGTGTGGTTAAGGGCTAGAGTCTGGGTGACTGGTGTGGTTAGGGTTGGGGTCTAGGTGGCTGGTGTGGTTAGGGTTGGGGTCTAGGTGGCTGGTGTGGTTAGGGCTAGGGTCTGGGTGACTGGTGTGGTTAGGGTTGGGGTCTAGGTGGCTGGTGTGGTTAGGGCTAGGGTCTGGGTGGCTGGTGTGGTTAGGACTAGGGTCTGGGTGACTGGTGTGGTTAGGGTTGGGGTCTAGGTGGCTGGTGTGGTTAGGGCTAGGGTCTGGGTGGCTGGTGTGGTTAGAGTTGGGGTCTAGGTGGTTGGTGTGGTTAGGGTTGGGGTCTAGGTGGTTGGTGTGGTTAAGGGTTAGGGTCTGGGTGGCTGGTGTCGTGATGGTGAGGGCTAAGGTCTGGTTGGCTGGTGTGGTTAAGGGCTAGGGTCTGGGTGGCTGGTGTGGTTAGGGGCTGGGTGGCTGGTGTGGTTAGGGTTAGGGGCTGGGTGGATGGATGGTGTGGTTAGGGTTGGGGTCTAGGTGGCTGGTGTGGTTAGGGCTAGGGTCTGGGTAGCTGGTGTGGTTAGGGTTGGGGTCTGGGTGGCTGGTGTGGTTAGGGCTAGCGTCTGGGTGGCTGGTGTGGTTAGGGTTGGGGTCTAGGTGGCTGGTGTGGTTAGGGGCTGGGTGGTTGGTGTGGTTCGGGCTAGGGTCTAGGTGGCTGGTGTATTTCGGGCTAGGGTCTAGGTGGCTGGTGTGGTTAAGGGCTAGGGTCTGGGTGGCTGATGTGGTTCGGACTAGAGTCTTGGTGGCTGGTGTGGTTAAGGGCTAGGGTCTAGGTGGCTCATGTGGTTCGGGCTAGGGTCTGGGTGGCTGGTGTGGTTAGGGTTGGGGTCTGGGTGGCTGGTGTGGTTAGGGCTAGAGTCTGGATCTGGGTGGCTGGTGTTGTTAGGGCTAGGGTCTGGGTGGTTGGTGTTTTTAGGGCTAGGGTCTGGGTGGCTGGTGTGGTTAGGGCTAGGGTCTGGGTGGCTGGTGTGGTTAGGGTTGGGATCTGGGTGGCTGGTGTGGTTATGGTTAGGGCTAAGGTCTGGGTGGCTGGTGTCGTGATGGTGAGGGCTAAGGTCTGGTTGGCTGGTGTGGTTATGGTTGGCTATAGGATCTGGTTGGCTGGTGTGGTTAATAATAATTTACTTATTTATCCAAGAGAGCCACACTTAATCGTAGGACGTTTTCAGAAGGATCCTGCATTGGGTGACATAATGACGAGTCACAGAAAACGGTGTGAAAGTTCAACATACAGAGAAATTAGTTTTCAATCTACATTTACAAGTGCATAGCTCCAGTGGCTTCTTAATATCGGAAGGAAGTGCGTTCCAGACGGCCGCAGAAGCGCATCAGAAAGCGTGCGATACGGTAACTTTCTTTGTTCGATGGCTAGCCAAAAGCGGCTGCAAGGATAACTGATGTTCGCACGGTGGTTCATGCTCCTTGACGAGATCAGCAAGGTATTGTGGTTCATTCGTGGCAAGCACTTTGCGTGTAATGAGTGTGACCTTATAATGTATTCGTTCGGCAACCGGAGGCCAATGCAGCCCGGTGAACGCTGGACGGTCAGATCTTGCAGTACCCGTCACCACACGTCCCAGACAATTTTGTACAAGCAGCTTGGTAACGTTTTTGCCAGACGTCCCGTCGAATCGCGAGTTGCAATAATTGAGCTTTGTCAATACTATCCTACACCGTGTTGGCAATGTCACGGCTCAATAGTAGTCAAATGTATCGTAGAGCCCGGATATGGCATGGTGAGGGTCTGGCATGCTTGAAGAGGGCGAATGCTCGTGTCTGTTTGGCAAGTTTGTGCCACTCCCTATCAGTTTTCTTCCCACATTGATGATCATTGCCTACTTTTGGTGCTGGGGTGATGCATAAGAGGATGACCAATAGTTCCCTCCCCCCTCCTCTTCCCCCGCCCCCACCCCGACACCTCCAACCCCCTAGGCGGTGGCGAAGCTGGGCTGGGCGCAACCGACCCTAATCCAGGAGCGAGCCATCCCGCTGGCGCTCGAGGGCAAGGACCTGCTGGCGCGGGCGCGCACAGGCTCCGGCAAGACGGCGGCATACGCCCTCCCGCTCATCCAGCGCGTGCTCACCGCCAAGGAGGTGTGCGCCCGACACACGACGCCCTGCACCACGGTGTCGCCCGGCGCCACGATGGCGGCCGCTCGCTGCCCACCCTGCTAACGTTCACGACTGACACGATACCGAGCCCTGCTGTTTCGAAACGGTCCTTCTCAGAGCCAAACCAACCATGCCATTTGTGATCTGTCGTTTGACCCCAACCTCCCCTCCCCCCACCGCCTGTTCAACATTGGCCCCCAAGGATTGGCTCCCCCAACTTTCAAATGTTGCTGCTGTGTGTAGTTTTAGAGATCTCGCAATCCCACTCGAGTGAACGATTGTGCCCCCGTGTCCCCCACCCCGCCCCCCCGGCTGGCAGGCGGTGTGCGAGCCGGCGGTGCGCGCGCTGGTGCTCGTCCCCACCAAGGAGCTGGGCCGGCAGGCGGCGCGCATGCTGGGTCAGCTGACGTCGTACTGCTCGCGTGACGTGCGCGTGTGTGACGTGTCCGGGCAAGTGGAGCTCAGCGCGCAGAGGTGAGGGGCTCGCTCGCGACGAACGGTGCCGGGGCGGAGCCCGAACAGCAGACGTGACGACGCTTGGCCCGTGACCTTGCGGTGTCGCCGAGCGCGGGTGTGTGCACGTAGCCGTCTCACCTAGGTTTCCCCACCCCCCCCCTCCCACGTGACCCCGTGGACCCCCGGGGCAGGCCCCTACTGATGGAGAAACCGGACGTGGTGGTGGGGACCCCGAGCCGCGTGCTCGGCCACCTGCAGCAGAAAAACCTGGCGCTGCGCGAATCGCTCGAGATGATCGTCATCGACGAGGCGGACCTCATCTTCTCCTTCGGCTTTGAGAACGACCTCAAGGTCCTCTTGGGGTCAGTTCCTCGAGCGCACGCACGCGTGAACACGCGCGCAACCCATGAACGCACACACAGGCATGTGGATTCACACCCACGGACACATGCACACACAGGTGCACACAGACAAAGATTCCCCATATAGACATGCAGGCTGTTGGGGCAGAGGTGCGGGGGAAGGACAACAAAGGACCACACAAACGTGCGCGCACATACAGACAATGTTGCACATTGCTACATATGGATGCGTACAAACAGACATGCACGCGGGCACACGAACGTGTGTGCAGTGGTGAATTGCCGCTATAGCAGCTGACTTGCAGTAACAGCAGTAGTAGGGAAATCGCAGCAGCGAATTCCTCCTGCAAAAGGTGAGCGACTTTGAGCAGCAGTGACGAGACCCCCCCCCCCCCACCCGTGTGTGCTCCCAGGCACCTGCCCAACATCTACCAAGCCTTTCTGATGTCGGCCACGCTCAGCGAGGACGTCAGCGCCCTCAAGAAACTCATCCTGCACAACCCCGTGAGTAGCGCCGCCGCCGCCCCCCCTGTTGACCGCCGCTGACCCTAAGCTAAATTATTATTATTTTACCAGGTAAGGCATGCTGAGCTATGTAGCTCATTTTCAGAAGGAGCCAAATGCTCTAAACGCATGCATTTAAATGTGGAGGGAAAAACAGGAGGACCCAGAGAAAAATCCTCACCACCACAGGGAGAACAAGCAAACTCCAAATATACTCTTCTTTGGTTCTTTTGGTCAAGTCACATAAATTAAAAAAATAGATCACGACGTTTCGATCGCAACACAAGCAACCGTCTTCAGGTGAGAGAGAGCTGCTGAGACAAGGTCTTATAGAGGCCTGAGAAGGGTGCATCAAGGCAGGTGGGTGGAGCTAGAGATGGTCCAACCACAGAGGCTGGAACAGTGGACACCCAGCCTGTCAATACAAAGACATCCAACCTAGTAATGAAACTCAGAGAGTCAGTTAACATTGGTCGAAAGGATTGAAACATCTTTGCAAGTTAAGACTTTACCTGGTTAATCACGTCCTTCCAATGATTGCTCAATTTGTACCCATCTTCTCGGTTTAAGTTGTGTCTGTTTATATATCTGGATGGCTTCATGAACAAATCCTTGATGAAAAATCAATATCGTGCGAGCCCACAGCGTTAATACAATGATCAGCCATGGCCGAGTTATTGGTTCTGCCGTGTTTCAGATCCGCCTTGTGTTCACGAACACGGTCCGAGACTTGTCGTTTAGTTTCCCCAATGTAACTACTGCCGCAGACACAACTTAGTTTGTAGACACCGGGGTATTGCATGTCAGATGGGATCAGATCACAAATTTTATGTACTGTGTTGAATCGAACCTGGATCTTGTGTTTGTTCATGGTTTTGGAAATATTTTTGGTGACCCCTGCTATGTATGGCAAGGTGATGGTTTTGATTGGGTCCTCAGATGTTTTTTTTCCCACGGTTGGGGTGACAGCTTTGCAGATTGTACGGTCCGAATATCCATTCATCTTGAGGGCTTGGTGTACGTGTTCCAGTTCACTGGCTAGCTGATGATGGTCGGAAATACATCGAGCTCTATGGTGTAGAGTTTTGATGAAGGAATTCTTCTGGGCTGGATGGTGGTGGGAGTCAGGTTTTAGGTAGGCATCCGTGTGGGTGGCTTTCCTGTAGACAGTGTCCCAATGAGCCATCTGGTCTCTTTTCGATTAAAACATCCAAGAATGGTAACTTGCCATCCTTATCTACTTCCATGGTGAATTTGATGGCTGGGTGTATGCAATTTATGTGGTTGAAGAATTGGTTCAGTGCTAGAGGGCCATGTGACCAGATGACGGACGTGTCATCTACGTATCTCTTCCACAAGGAAGGACGTAAGGTGGATGCCTGGATGGCATCTGGCGATAAGGGAGAACCCATTGGGGTACCTTAATCTTGTTTGTCGAATGTACCATTCCAGGTGAAGTAAGTGTTGGTAAAACAGTGTCTCACCAGGGTTGGTGCATCAGCATTCAGTCCTTGTTGGACCAAATCTTCAATGATTGCAATGGTGTCAGGCACAGGAACTTTGGTGAAAAGAGAGACCACACAAATCACCTGGAGATAGTGAGATGTCTTTAATTAGAGAAACCAAATGAACTGAATTAAGTACAGCTGAGGTGGTCTTGCCAGTGAATGGAAGCAGGGTCTCAGACAGAAATCGTGCCAGTTTGTAGGTGGGTGAGTCAATGGTGGAGACGATAGGACACAACCATAAAATCTGGGTGGTCTAGCAGCAGAGGGTTTTAGAGAGAGCCGCTTGGTTGGTTTGATTAAAGATGTCGAATCAGTGATGATATTGTTGATTTTTGTAACCAGGCGGTTGGTAGGATCTCTATTGATTTTGGTCCTGAATACAGCAGCAGGCGTCAGGGTCGGGATTGACTCCACAACCTCCTGTATACCGGCCGAGGTAGTTAACATCTCGCCACCACGGCGCCCTGACTTGAACTTGGCCGACCCTGATTTACGCCGGCTTATCCCGGATGACCCCTATTAACTCCTGTCTTCCTGGTCTTCCCACGTAGAATTGAGGAGCTCGGGGTGTACCTAGCCTGGCACGGAAGCCACGGGGACGTCCCCTCCACGGAGTGGTTAACGATTGAGGTTGAACGAGTCTCGTGACCTTTTTCAAGAGGGTCCTGCCCCAGGAAGTTTTCATTTCCATTTTAACACGTGCGAGGAAAATGGGGAGGACCCAAAGAAAGCCTCCACATACAAAGGCGATAACACTCCCCTACTTGAGAACAGCATTGAGACTAAATATCTTTCGACGTCCACGGAGAGCCGAGGCCCCAGTCACCAACGAGGCCTCACCGCATCGTCCCCCCACCCCCCCCCCCCAGGTGACCCTCAAGCTGCAAGAGTCGCAGTTGCCCGACAGCGGCCAGCTGGCTCAGTACCACGTCAAGTGCGAGGAGGAGGACAAGTTTCTGCTGGTCTACACGCTCCTCAAGCTGGGGCTTGTGCGTGGCAAGACGCTCGTCTTCGTCAACTCAATCGAGCGCTGCTACCGCCTCAAGCTCTTCCTCGAGCAGTTCAGCCTCCCGGCCTGCGTGCTCAATTCCGAACTGCCCGTGCACTCCAGGTGGGCCATGCCGTGTCCCTCCGTGTCCTTCCTTGCCCCGCCGTGTCCCTCCGTGCACCTCCGTGCCCTGTCACCAGGCCCGGATTTAGGGTCGGGGAGGGTGGCGGGAACTTTTGTCCAGGGTCCGAGACTCATTAGCTCGGTTGGCTCCTTATGGTGCGAAAGAAGTTCAACATACATACATTCCCGAGGGGCCCACAAAAAATATATATTTATTATTGATTCATTGGTGCTAACAAAACTGGGGCTGTTGATTAGTACTCTGGTTTTTTTACAAGGGCAATGTAAACAATGCTAACTTAATCAGTAGCTGTCCTAATTGCAGCAGTTTCCTGCATGGGGATATTAGAGAGTTTACTTTGTAAGGAAAATCTGTGGTATGGGAGGAAATTGGTGAACCGGCATCAAAGGCACATGCCATCACTAGGATTGTTCTTGTCGCTTTAGAGTTACTGATCATCACGTGATGCAAAACATCAGAATACCGGTTAAGCAAACCTCAACCAGCAATGACCAGCGCCGAGACCGACATGGCATAAGAAGGATTTTATTATTATTACTATTATGATAGTTTACCCAGGAGAGTCTTGACGAGTCTCACCAAGTCTCAAAACCCCTTTCATGAGGGACCTTTCCAAGTTTTTTTGCAGTAGGGGATTCTATCGGAAGATCGATTGCAAACGCCCCCCCCCCCCCTCCTGGTGACGAGGCGCGGCTCAAACGCTCGCCACTACCGCGTTCCCCAGGTGCCACATCATCAGCCAGTTCAACCAGGGCTTTTACGACTACATCGTCGCGACCGACGAGCACTCACTCACCGAGATGGCCAACCGCGAGCGGCCCTCGTCGGACGGGGAGGGCAAGAAGGAGGAGCCGTCCAAGAACAGGAAGAGGAAAGCAGTGAAGAGGTGAGAAGGAGCAGCTGCCCCAGCCCCACACACACACACACCAGCGTTCTCACTTCTCTCCCCTGCGTGACTCCCCACCAGCCCCTGCCGTGTAACCACAAATACCCTGAGCCCTCTGCTGGCTCACAACCCCATCCTGGATCTACAGTAGTAGACATTGGTGATTGGTTTTTCGGTTAACCTTTTGCCTCCCATAGGACCCCATGGATTCGACTTAACGTTAACATTTTAATTAACGGTATGTTTACATTATGCACGCGGGGGCCAATTTCGGCCAATCGGAGCGCTCGTAAGTGAGCTGAGCCATACCTCAGGCAATCGGCGACGCCCATTTATGAACGTTTAGACCTCAACTGGCTTTGTTTACTTCTTGGTTCATTCGGTAAAGTCACGTAGAAAAAGAAATAATAATAGAATACACGACGTTTCGATTGCAACACAAGCAGTCGTCATCAGGTAGAACTAAATTTGAGAGAGAGACAAACACAGACATGGAGACACACAGACAGACACACAAGGAGAGAGAGACAACACACAGACACACAGAGAGAGACACAACACATACACACAGAGACCCAATGCCTCTGTGTCGAGGCCTTAAATCAGGGGTGGGGAACCTTTTTTCTGCCTAGGGCCATTTGGACATTTATAACATCATTCGCAGGCCATACAAAATTATTTACTTAAAGATTAGCCTGTTATATTTGATCAAACATTTAATTAACTCACCCCTAATGTGATGGCTGGAACTTTTAAATGATTTTGCGGGCCTCATACGGCCCGTGGGCCGGACGTGCCCCACCCCTGCTGCTGGAACAGAGAAATTAGCATGTCACTCAAAGACTCAACAAGACTGGTACATTTTAGAGAGAGTTGTGTGGAAATCCACCCCAAAGTGACCGAGGGAGAGAAAGAGCGAATGGACCTATGAGAGCCTGGTAAATTTTAGAGAGAGAAATCTGCAGTTTGAGAACTAAATTTAGCAAATTTTTGGAAAATGTAATGCAATGCAACACAGAGAGTCGGCTAACACACAGTTAACGCATAGCCTGGTTGATGACGATCTTCAACGAGTGAAATTTGACAAATAGAGACACAGAGAGATGTGTGGAAATCTACCCCGAACCAGCCGGAGGAGAGAAAGAGCAAATGGACCTATGAGAGCCTGGTATATATATACAAAATTAAAACAGTTCTACCTGATGACGGTTCCCTGTGTTGCAATCGAAACGTCGTATTCTATTATTTAATTTATTTAATTTTATTTCTACGTGACTTTACCGAAAGAACCAAAGAGTAATTCCTGCAGTCACAAAAGCTTCAAATCAAGTTTGGCTTTGTTTACATTATGTTTTCTGTTTTGGCAGTGGAAACGGCTCTCTTGCACACACGGAGTGATTTTTACTTATTTTTCTACTTATAAGTGAATTCTATTTTTAGTTACTTCGGTTTACAGTACTTTTCGTGGAACTGATACAAAATGTAAAACGTTAATGGCATACTCCGTCTTTGAAATCCTCCCTGGCTTTTCCCCTGCCTCTATCTCTCCTCTCCACTCTCATCACGCTCGACTCTTCACGCATCCCTCCGCTCCGGCAAATGAGGCTTCCAGTCAAAACGCCAACGGTTAACCTGTGCTTGAGTGGGAGGTCGCTCATTCTGCTCTGCTGACCTCGAGTTCTGAAAATCCCTTCCCCCAGCCATTCATGCTGTGGACTCCCCTGCCCCCTGTTCAAGTCCAAATTCAAGATCTTTCTCATCTCCACTGCCTATGAGTGACAGCCTCTGTCTCTCTGACTGCTTCTCGCTCTCACTCTGTGAAGTCAATGTCTTCTGTTTCTCTACAGCCATTCGTGATGCAGTCAATTATTAGACTATACGTAAACCACATAAACCCTCAGATTCATAAGCTCACATAGAGACCAATAGACTCGCATAGAGACAAAAATAGACTTACACAGAGACCCACGTACAAACCAACCCTGATACCTTTTCAAGTCCAGGATCAAGACCGTACTAACTTGACTGCCTCTCTCTATAAAATAAATATGTATCCGTACAGCATCTCCAGACGCCGTTGCGTCTCGACTCTGCTGCCTAAGTCGACGTCGCGTGGTAACTGCGTGGTCTCCCATTGTCGCCGTGTGCTCGTGCAGGGGTAAGGACAAGGAGTACAGCGTGGCCCGGGGCATCGACTTCCAGAACGTGTCCAACGTCATCAACTTTGACTTCCCGCCCACAGTGGAGGCGTACATCCACCGCGTGGGCCGGTGAGTCGGGCGATGGGGTTGTGTTGTGTGGTGGATGTGTGTATATGTGTGTGTGTGGGGAGCGGTAGTGTAGCGGTTAGCGCGCTGCGCTATTAACCCGGCGACCCGAGTTTGATTCCCGCTCACGGCCAATACTTAGTCTGTTAAGGCTATACGGGGGGGGGTCTTTGTGTGTGTGTGTGTGTGCCTCGTTGAGAACACGCTGCAGGAATCCACGCCGTGCTGCATACCAAGTACGCGGCGCCTCGCCAACCTCCCCTTGACCTCCCCTCGACCTCCCCTTCGACCTCCCCTTCGACCTCCCCTCGACCTCCCCTCCATCTCGCACTGATCTCGATATTTTGATGGTGCTGTCAGGACGGCACGGGCCGACAACCAGGGCACGGCGCTGACGTTCGTCAACCACAAGGAGATGTCGCTGCTGCAGGAGGTGGAGACGATCCTGGCAGGTCAGTTGCCTGCGTCCACCACCCCCTACCCCCCTCCCCCACACATCCATCTCATACAACACAGTCACCCCCCTGCTTCTTCCTTAACCCCCCCCCACCTTGGGTCTAGAACTTCACAGTGATCACACGCAATGCAGGCTGTTACCCCACTTCCCATCCTCTGGTGGTCCCTCGACTCTGGACACGGGAAGTCACGTCATCGGAGCAGCGAGCGGCCACCCATAATCACGATCGTTATTTTATATTCGCCCGAGGTGGCCTCGGGAGTGTCAATAATTCACGTTGAGGATGTATTTTGCTTGGGAACATTTTTTTTTTTAAGCGCGACCCGACAGCGCCCTTGTCTCCCGCTGCCGTTGCAGGAGACAAAGAGAGCGCGGCTCTGAAGCCCTACCAGTTCCGCATGGCGGAGATCGAGGGCTTCCGCTACCGCTGCACGGTGAGGAAGCCTCCGCTCGGGGCCCCTCGCTCTCCCGCGGCCACGCTCGGCCCCCCGAGCTCTCTCGTAACAAAGGTGGCGGCCGCGGCGCCACGAGCTTCCCGTGTGAACCGCGCGAACATTGACGACAGTCGTGTTCTGTCTGTCTGTGTGTGTGTAGAGTGGTAGTGTAGCAGTCGTGTTCTGTCTGTCTGTGTGTGTGTGTGTGGAGTGGTAGTGTAGCAGTCGTTCTGTGTGTGTGTGGAGTGGTAGTGTAGCAGACGTGTTCTGTGTGTGTGGAGTGGTAGTGTAGCAGACGTGTTATGTATGTGTGTGTGGTAGTGTAGCAGACGTGTTATGTATGTGTGTGGAGTGGTAGTGTAGCAGTCGTTCTGTGTGTGTGTGGAGTGGTAGTGTAGCAGTCGTGTTCTGTGTGTGTGGAGTGGTAGTGTAGCAGACGTGTGCGCATGTAGAGCGCCGTGCATGGTGCTGGCCACCCACCCCTTTCGTGTGCCGTGCCGGCCTTCAAAGGTGCTCGCTGACACCTATGACAGCACAGTCTGTTGAAGGGGGATCTTTGTCTTTGCAGGACGCCATGCGCTCCGTCACTAAGCAGGCCATCAAGGAGGCGCGTCTCAAGGAGATCAAGCAGGAGTTGCTCAACTCCGACAAGCTCAAGGTGCCGCCCGCGATTCCATCACTCGTGCCGACACAAGCTCCGGCGTGTCGCCCGCTCGGGGTGGAGTGGAAGCCCCTGGGGGGCTTAGCGCCGGACGCGGGGTATCTGTGCACCTCGCGGCCTCGTCCAAGACCTCGTGATAGAGCAGAGAACTTGGGGTTTAGTGATTTAGTGAAGGCTTGGGGGTTGTGTGGAGGCCTAAGGATTTAGTCGCGAAGGCCTTGGCCTATGAGCACGAATGCAACGTGTGTACATGTCACTGTGTGTACCCTTCATGCGTGCGCGTACACGAGCGTCACGCGTGCGAGTAGGTGAGCGTGACCTCACGCGTGCGAGTAGATGAGCGTGACCTCACGCGTGCGAGTAGGTGAGCGTGACCTCACGCGTGCGAGTAGGTGAGTGTGACCTCACGCGTGCGAGTAGGTGAGCGTGACCTCACGCGTGCGAGTAGATGAGCGTGACCTCACGCGTGCGAGTAGGTGAGCGTGACCTCACGCGTGCGAGTAGGTGAGTGTGACCTCACGCGTGCGAGTAGGTGAGCGTGACCTCACGCGTGTGCGCACGCGAGCGTTAATCGTGCGCTTACGGGCGCGTTAAGCGTTTGCGTACGTGAGCATCACGCGCGCGTGTGTGTGTGTGTGTGCGCTCACGCACGCCCCCTGTGTCCAGACGTACTTTGAGGACAACCCGCGCGACTTGCAGCTGCTGCGGCATGACCGGGCGCTGCACCCGGCCGTCGTGAAGCCGCACATGAGGAACGTCCCCGACTACCTCAGTGAGTTCCCCCCGCCGGGCACAAGCAGCGCCCGTGGAGGAGCGCGCTGGCGGTGCTACCGCGCCCGGCCTCCCCGTCCCCTCCTCCCTGGCGGTCCGCACGGCGCCCCTGTGAGCGGGGCAGGGCGCGGGCGGTGGCCCCGGCCCACCGGGGGGCGCTGTCGCCCGAGCCTCTGTCGTTACCGCACAGCCTGCGGCCGCCGCCTGGATCGCGAGCGCTCGACGGGTCCGCAGTTTGACTAATGGCCATGCTGCAGGGATCGGATTTGCTGGACGAGTGCTCGTTTGCATTGGCTCATTGGTATTGTTTCTTGGTCCTTCCCGCTCGCACGGGCGAGCGGGAAGGTCCATCCGCAACACAAGCGGTCCTGATGACGACCATCATGACGACCATCAGCGGTCCTGATGACGACCGCTTGTGTTGCGATCGAAATGTTGTCGTGAACCTATCTACGTGACTTTACCGAAAGACCCAAAGAATATCATTCGCATTCCTCTTTTTAGCACGGTTGGCTATGAACGGTGTGAAATTATTTCAATGTTCATACATACGTGTACTGCTCAGCAGGGATTGGTACTAATCTACCACTGGTGGAAATTCCACATTATTATGGTAGAGGCAAGCTTGTCCATAGTGCTGCTACCTCTTGTGATCTCTGGTACTTAACCAACACGAGAAGGCTCATGAGCTGAAGTTGACCTCGCGACCTTCCGATCGCGAGAGCCGCTTGCTTCGACCACTGGGTGGCAGCACGCGGCCTCGCGTCTCCGCGTTCGTGGAACCGCGTGGGTTCGCGCCCCCCCAAAACGCTTTCTCCCCTCGCCTCCGCCCCCCCCCCCTCCCCAGTCCCTCCCACGTTGAAGCAGATTGCGCGGCCCATACGGGGAAGCAAGAAGCGGTACAAGCCCGGCCCGAGCACGGCCACCACCAGAAGGCCCAAGGTGAGCGCGCACGCGTGCGGCGACGACGACGACGTGGCTACCGAGCAACCGGGCCGGAGTCCACGCGCCGGAGGGAGTACTACGAAGAGGGGGGGGCAGGGGAGGTGGGGGCCACGTCGGCAGAGGTGGCCCAGGGCGGTGGCCAACCGCTGGGGCTCGGGAGGGGTAGCGGCCACGTCGGGTTTCGCGGTCGGGCGTCCGTGACCGCGTCACTCGAGCCGCGTGAGCGGAACGCGCCATTGGCACCTAGAGCCGTGACGAGGGAGGGGAACGGCGATAACATGAGGTGGGAGCGGGAATCGGGGAGGGAGGGGGGCGGGGTGCGGTGGGGCGGCGCCCATTTGATTCCTCGCACCCGGGGCCCATGTCGTCGGCGCTCCGCCACGGGTCGAGGGATTTCGCGGGTGTTGAGCGAGCGGCACGGCGCGGTGTTGCGTTGCAGAGGCAGCAGCAAGACCCGCTGAAGACCTTCACATTCGCGGACAAGGAGTAGGCGCGGGGGGGCAAGATCTGGAGCGGGCGGGCGCGTGAAACGACTCCCCCGCGCTCCGTGTCCGTGACGTCTGTCCGGGGGAGGAGGAGCAGAGACCATCGCCACCTCGCTCTCTTCCCCGCTTCGCTGTGCCCGGACGTTGCCTCGTTCATCAGGGAGGCGTCAGACTTGTACATTCGTTGGTTTTCGGGGTATTTAGTTGTTTTTTTAATAAACATCGGCGTACAGATAATTTACCAAACGCCTGCGCGTGCACAAAACAAAACGGTCGCACAAAGGCCCCAAGCCGCGTCGGCTTTTTCCGAGCTCCACGGGGGAAGTGCCCTTCGGCTCCCGGCCCGCCGAGCCGTCGCTGCCCTGCTCACGACGCGACGCCCCGGCGCAGGGGCCCGAGCTCGGCCTGCGATGGATCTCCCCCACCCCCCCCTCCCCCCCGAGTCCTCCACAGCGGTGGGGGCGGCTCCAGCCACTCACCCGGGATTTAGCGTGCGACCCCCCCCCCCCCCCCCCCCCCCCCCATGCCACCCTGAGATTTTCACACGACCAGCGCCAGCCATTAGCCCGCTACCCGCGGCACGAACGCGACCCCTGGGGGTAACGCTGTGCCCAGGAGGAGGACGCCCCGTCCAGCCGCGCTTGGCACCTCCGATCAGCACGGTTGGCTACGTACGGTGCGAACGAAGTTCCAGGCACACGCCTCCACCTGCAAAACGGCGTCGCGGGTGCCAGCAACGGCACACACACGACACGGACGGGTGTCCGCGCACAGCCGGCGTTATTCGAGCATTGGGTAAATGTAACAATTTTTGTGGACACAACTCTGTTATTCTAGGCCTGGGCTGTTATTCATATTGGAGGTTAAGCTAGCGAAGGCGCTTCATTGCGGCCCTCGCAAGCGCGGGTACGAACGACGCGGTGAGCGAGCACAGAGGTGGACGAGAAACAACTATGGACGCCAGAGTCCCGGGTCACCCGTGGAGCTTCACGAAAATAACACTGCTGCAAAAAGTAAAAAACAAAACAATCCCGAGGCTACCGACTGCTAAAATTCTCGTTTTTAACACCTTTCATCCAACGAGTTTATGCATTATCCTCCATCTACGAAAGGGGGGAGAGGGAGGGAGGGGGGGGGGAGAGGGAGGGGGGGGAGAGGGAGGGAGGGGGGGGGGGGAGAGGGAGGGGGGGGGGGAGAGGGAGGGAGGGGGGGGGGCGATAACCCCTCGTAGAGATGATTCCACCGTGAACGAAACTTTTCGTGTAAAGTTGTGGACTTGCCTGAGAGAAAACCAAACATCGATAATGGTTATTCACCACAGTTAGCCTTTGTAAACCTAGCTGGGGTACCTGCCAAAGCAGCTTTTTCCGTGTAACAAACGTGTTGGATCGAATGCTTGCAAAACGTGAAAATGCATTTTCATATTTGAAAGCCTATCCGCCGTCGGCTTCCGTGCTGCTTATTAAATACGTCCCAAGACAAACGCGCGCTAGAAAGCGTCATCTAATTTATGCGTTTTGTTCTTAATTTTGTCTCAAAGCCTGCTTTCCCATACACTGCCCGGTCTAGTTAATGCCTGAAGCTGCAGGTCGTCGTCGTCGTGCCTTCGAATCGCCGCTCCTCGGGGCCGCCGAACCGCCACCGGTCCTCAACCCACGCACCACCGCACTGCCCCGTTGCGCGAACCCCCCCCCCCCCCCTTTGCCCCCCGACCGACGCCACGGGCTGCTGGTGGTGAGGGGGGGGGTGCGCCCCGACCACCTCACGACACGACGGTGGAGCTCATCGTCGCCGCCTCGGCGCCGCCCGCCTCCGCGCGGCGCTTGCTGCTGCTGCCGCGGCGGACGAGGACGAAGCAGATGGCGAGGGAGGCGAGGAGGAGCAGGCAGAAGAGCAGCAGCAGCGTCGACAAGGCGCCCACGGGCAGGAAGGAGCCCCTGGGCGGCCGGACCGCCGGCACCATGTTGGTCTGGTTGAGCATGTAGCCCAGGGTCCAACCCAGGCTGCTGCCTTGGATCTGCACGCGCACAGGAGACGGGGAGGGCCACCCGGGGCTTGAACTCAACCCTCGGCAGTGCCAGCGCACCCCCTGGGAGTGTGGCACGAGACGAGTGGTGTTCAAATTACGTGGCATTTGGACGTTCGCCAAGCAGTGCGCTCGGAGCTCGAGTAATTGATTTCAGAGCTGTCGATGGAATCGACTTGTTGCGCCGAGTGCAGTGTGTACATGCGTGTGTGTTTCGCTTTCGCTGCTCGGTCAAGTTACGCCACAGTGGCAAGATGTTAACTACCTTGCCTGGTATGCAGGAAGTCATGGGTTTGATATTTGGGAGTTTGCATGTTCTCTCTGTGGTCCCGGGTTCTCCGGTTTTTCCCTCCACATTCAGAATCAACATCGCACGTTTAGAGTTTGGCTGCTATAAATTTCCACATGGTAAGCCACTTCGTTGAGCTGTAATTTTTGTGGCCAGGTCGCTTCTTACCTGGTAGAATAAAAACAGTTTGTGTGAATCCGCCTCCCTTTCCCCCAAATCAGGCGATTTCCCCCCCCCAACCCCCCCGCTTGCTGCGTCTCGTCAGCGACTCACGCTTTTGAGGAAGCGGATTTGGGCGAAGCTTTCCTCCGTGAAGCCGTAGCCGTCCAGCAGGAGGCTCTGCACGTAGTGTCCGTTGAAGCAGACGGCGCGCAGCCGGTCCTCGCGAACGCCCGGGTTCGCCTGCTGCGCCTGCACTCGTGACGACGGCGGTCAGTGCGGGCGGGTGAGGGCTGTGGTGAACCGCCAGGAGGAGCGGGTTGGGACGTCGCGCGCCCGTGGCTGGCCCCTGCCGGCTCGGGGCGCGGCACGCTCGCCGGGGCCACCGCTCCCCTCGTCGGCGTCGTAGCGAGCGCCTCGTGCCCGCCCACGGCGCCCGAGTGGTTGTCACCGCACCGAGGCGAGTTCTCGCTGCCTCTGCCCGGAATAAACCGTCGATGATTCGCCGTGAGCAACCTTTCACCGAGGTTTGACAACACCGTGAAGGGTGGAAGGTCAGCAGAAGAGCTCATTAGCGGCGTGCAGAGTATCTGATATATTTTTTTTCCTTGGTTCCCCCATCTTCCCCTCTTTTTTCCCCTACCCCCCCCCCTTTGCCCTTCGTCCCCCCTTACCATGTTGGTTATATCCCCCCCCTCCACGGTTTTCCCTCCCCATTTAAAACTTCATTTTCGCCCAACGCGAAGTGCAGCGGGGGCCCCATCATTCCCCTTCTTCCCTCCCCCTTCCGTGCGGTCCCGTTGCGCCGGTACAGCTTGTGGCGAACGTTCGTTCACCCTGTCCACTGGAGCCTGTATCGGGCTCGCGCTTCGTCGGAATACGAACAAAAATAAACACCACGAAACACGTGTCGCCCCACCCAATAGCGATCCGCCATGGACGGGGGTGGCCACACACGTGGCATGCAGTCCAGTGGCGGTGGAGGCGGCGAGGGTCCACGGGTCGTCCGCATGCCATGACACTCTCCGTACACGTCGAGGAGATGCCCGGAGAAGGCGGTCTATGTGTTCCATGTGTATGGGATAGGATGTTGCTCCCTCGCACGCGTGGGGCTTTTCTCTGTTTGCACCGCTATCCTCGTGTATAATAAACAACTCGTCACTAATTGGTTGACAACATCTACATACTTGGAGGTCGCGGGGCATCGTGAGGTGCAGCCGTATAACCGATGCTAAACACAATCTCAAAATCAGAATTATGCTTCGTGCCATGCACCCCTCCATGTCACCGTGTCCCTCCGCTCACCTGTGCCCAGGTGCGCGAGCACGCAGTGGCCAGTTTGGAGTTGAAGGTGGCGACGCTTGCCGTGCCGTCTCCGTGCGTCAGGTTCAGGCTCTGCATGGTGAAGTAGAACCCGGCGAACGCCTGCATGCGGACACGAGACACGGAGACCGTGGGACGTGGGGGACACGAGACACGGAGACCGTGGGACGAGGGTGACACGAGACACGCACTACGTTCACGTGCATTCAGACACGAGGGCAACTCCAGAAGCGCTGCACAGTGGCGGACCGGTCCCACTCTCACCATGAAGCCGCCTTCCACGGGTGGCTGGTAGACGCCGTTGAAGGAGCACTCGGGGTTGTTGTCACACGCCGAGAAGTTGAAGATGCGGCGCACGGCCTGCAGGCACTGCGCCGCGTCGCCCGTGCCCACCAGGGTGACCGTGGTGTTCGCCGCCGGGACCCACGTGCCGCCGCCCGGGTACGGCGCTCGCGTGCAGCTGCCGCCGTAGACGTCCGCGAGGCGCACGGAGCGGCTGTAGCCCGCGTTGTAGCACGGGTTCAGCACCGTGTCATTCCCCCGCGCGGCCTGCGGCGCGCACACAACAGAATCCCCCCGTGTGGCCTCCAGCAGACCGTCGGGGCCAAAGCGCCGTTCGCGCGTGGCGCCTAATAAAGGGCCGCACGGCCACCACTTTGGGCACGCACTTCGATAACCGTGCGCAGCAGCGCCAGGCTGGCCTGGTCGCGGCCGTAGCACAGGAAGCTGTGGGTGTACACGGCGTAGTCGGAGCCGAAGAGGCGGAAGGACGAGGCGTCGCGCCGGGGCGGGTCCCGCGGCACGAACGAGATCTGCGTGGAGGCGCCCCCCAGGTCCAGAGCGCCGTGCGTCACCAGCGGCTCCGGGCGCCACCAGCGCATGGCGCTCGCCACCCACGACGCGTCGGGACTCTGCGACGCGTGGAGGGGGGGGGGATCGAGGTTGTGGGTCAAGGGAGAGGAGGGAGGGTGGCGGGGGAACTTGGAATTTAAATCTTCACTCGCAAGCCCACTTGTGTGACCTTGCACTTAATGGGTTTTGACCCGGGCATGGCACAGCTGGTTTGTGTCTCGAAGCCGATGAAGAGTTCCGATTTTATGTTTGGTGGGCACAAGCGCTTTGGTAAATCTTACGCTCAATGTAAACAAATGAGCGAGTGAACCAAAAAATGGTAGAACAAAGCAATTATTACATAACGAACGGAATAAACCAACGGAATGCCTGCTTAGTGATGGTATTCGACGGTGATGGTTTTGATTTGTACCGGGGTTAGTTCCTGTCACTGACAGAAAAGGAAAACCTCAACGTTTCGGAGGACGTGTTCGCATAGGTTCACCCCCGGCACGGTCATCATCTGGTGACTCCTCAAAAGCACAGCAGAGCTCAGTTCAACCCGGTTGGATGCCGCACACGGGCGTAGGGAGACGCAGCTGCATACCCCCCCCACTCCCCCCACATTTTTTACGGGAGGTGGAAGGTCAGCCATACAATGCCCCCCCCCTCCACCGCCCCCTCAACCCCGCCACCCGAGCTGCATCTTTCACCGGGCGACGACTCAACAGAGCAGGGCCGAGTACCCGCTGGGCGAGAGTGACCAAAAACGAGGAGAGCGAAAGAATGAAGCGACGAAGCGAATGGAGAAATCGGAGCTGAAAGCAATCGCGCTCCCAGGAACGCGCGGGGAAAGCCAGCGCAGTTCGCTTCGTGCCTGGAGGAAGTTGCCCTTGAGGTAGTTGACCGTGACCCAGCCGCACGCGCCCTCCTCCTCGCCCGTCAAGATCCGCGCCTCCCTGAAGCTGAACTCGGAGCGCCGCAGGGCGTCCCTCACCGACGCCAGGATCTGCTCGGTCGCCACTGGGTCCTGCAGTCTGAGAAGGGCGGCGCTGGGGTTCGTGAGCGGCTCCCAGTGGCTCCCCGTGGCTGCCCGTGGCTCCCCATGGGGTCCCGTGGCTCCCCGTGGCTCCCCGTGGCTCCCCATGAGGTCCCGTGGCTCCCCGTGGCTCCACGTGGCTCCCCATGGGGTCCCGTGGCTCCACGGTGGCTCTGTAATTTTGTGGCCAGATTGCGTCTGAAAAAGTGCTAATGGCTTAGTCGGCTTTACGTGGTGAAATAAATATTTAGTTTGTTTTCTGTTTGATGTCTCCACCGACTACCCTGCCCATAGCCCTCTCTCTGATGTCACCCACGCCGACTACCCTGCCCGTAGCCCTCTCTCTGATGTCACCCACGCGGAATTATGTTCGCTCAGGACGCTTCTCCCAGCTGCACTGTCCGAGGAGAGAGTCGCGTTACGTAGCGCCAGACCCTCGCATGCTCGGGGCGGGGGGGGGGCAGACTCACCGTGGACAGGATGGGGGGTGAGGAGCCGCGGTCCAGGGGGAGATTTATGGGAGCTAGAGGAACGATTTCTTCAGCAGTGCCCTGTCCAAATGCCAAACTACCTCGGATTAGCATGGTTGGCTACGTACGGTGCGAAAGAAGCTCAACATGCATACGAACTAAACCCAAGGCGCACTCCGGAGCTCACGCGCCACCACCGCGCGCCTCCCCTACGCCGCGTTCATGAAGAGTCTCTACTCGTACGCATCCGGGGTGTCGTGCAGAGAGCACGGGCAGTCTGTACGCGTTCGTACAGACCGCCCTTGCCAGCGTCACCGCCATACAACCCGTACGTTCCACATTCGCTGGTTCGTATTGTACCATCTCCCTACAGATGGCCACACAATGAACTGCATAATTCACTTTTATGTTGTTGCAGCATCTGCTCGGTTCCCTCCACACTCCTATGCGTCCCACACGGGGACCGGGTGTTCTTTTTTTGTATGGCACTCGGAAGACTGGGACAGCCGCTGCAGCCGCGACGCAAAGCCCTGGGCGCTGAACCGCGCCAGGTGGGGTCCTGGGGTGGGGCTTTGCGCCACCGAATGTCCCCGACCCCCCGCCCAAGTCCACGCACTGTCACCACCACCAACCAAAAGTTCTACTGCCCCCCCCCCCCCCTCCTCCGCCAAAACCGAGAGGAGCCTGAGCCGGGCCAGGTCAGGGCGTGGAATAAAATAACAATGACAAAGATCCCCCGTGTAGCCCTAACAGGCTGTTGAGGCAAGTGCTGTTAGCGAGCAGCAGCACCTCTGGAAGCCCGTGACGGCGCACGGAGGAGGGAGAAGGAGAGAAGAAAGTGTCGTGAAGAATTAAAGTAATTTAACGCGGAAGGGAAAGGGAACGAGAGGAGATGGAGAAGGAGCGGAGAGCCACAGAGGTTACGACTTGGGAAGCGAACGGCACGGCGAGGAGGAGGAGGCAGAGGCAGGAGGAGTTCACGAGCTGCGCGAAGTCGACGAGACGGAGCGTCGTCGTGACTTTGAAGATGATGATTTAGAAGGAGGAGGATAATGTTTGAGGACGAGGAGGAGGAGGAGGATGATGTTGCTGTTAAGAGAGAGTCTGGAGTCTGGGCTCGCTCACTCGAGGAGGCGCATCCCGGCCGTGGCTCCCAGGAACGCGGGGCTCTCCGCGCGCCGCTCCGCGGGGACGCGCGCGGCCAGGGCCCTGAGGCACGGGCCCAGGGAGCGGCCCGCGCCCGCAGGGGCGTGCGCGTAGCTCGAGATCCCGGGGCCTGCGCGCCACGGAGATAACGCGACACACACGACACATCACACGACGCGACACACACGACCATCACACGATGCACACCACACACCACGCCACACAACACGTCACACAACACACGAACACACACAACAAACCACACGACAGACACAACACACATTGCAAGACGACACAACACACGACACAACACGACACATACAACACACACACCACACAACACACGGCTTCCAGCCTTAACAGACTGTAGGAGCCAACCACAAAGACGACACACACACACACCGACACACACACACCGACACACGCGAGCGTCAATATCCTGTGTGCGTGTGTGTGGAGGGGGTAGTGTCACGGTTACCGCGCTCCACTACGAACCCGGCGACCCGAGTTTGATACCCGCCTCACGATTCCGAACCGGTCCTGGGCCTCCCCTACGTCGATTCAGCCTCAAATGAGTACCCAACGCGATGTGTAAACATCGCCAATGTAGGAAGACAAAAGCGGCCGGGCGTGGCATTGTCCACCTACCCCCCTCCGTGTGCTGCCATGCCGGCCTTCATCAGCGCTAAAGTACTCGCTAACAGCACTTGCCCCGACAGCCTGTAAAGGCTCCAGGGCGTGGGGGAGGATGGATCTTCGTCTCTTTGTGTCTAATCCTGCATTTCCTCTACCGATGTATCTGCCATTTGGCAACATCCCTTCCTTCCCTTCGCCGCGCTCACGCACTTCGAGAGGCGCTTTTCCTTTTGCTGCACCGCGCGTTTATTTTTGTTGGTGACCGCGAGTCGCGTCGCGCCGACAAAGACGGCGGCGACGGCGATGAAAGTGTCGCCCCAATGCGCAGCGAGAACGAGGAACGAGGAACGAGATGAGAGAGGAGATGGAACACAATGGGGATGGGGAGGTGGGGAGGCATGGGCGTGGCGGCACCGCTGCTCACGCAAAGAGAATTCCCCCCGGGAAGGGCTTGGGCTGCAGGTGGCCTGGCGGGCCGCGGGGATTGGGCACTCAGAAGCCACAATTGAAATGAAATCCGGGCGCAATCTCCCCTTCTTCTACAACGCGGTGTGGATGTGTGTTAGCGCCCAGCGCGCTGCATCTCCAGATGCTGCGCGGGGCGGGTTGGACGCGTCATTGTCACTGAGCGGGGGGTCAAACAGCACGGACGGCCGTGGGAAGAGTCACAGACAGAGGGTGCCAGCAGACGCGAAACGAGCGACCTCTCGCTGAGCGAAGACTGGAGCAGACAGCACGTGGAGGAGAGGAGACTGGGATTAGTGGGGAGAGGTAGGGGAGTGATTGAAGGGGAATAGAGTGAGATGAGAGCGGATAGGCAGGCAGGGGCGAGTCAATGAAGGACCATGAAGACGGGGGGGGGGGGGGGGGAGTTCAACCTTGAAGTCGATCGGGGATTGGATTGGGAGCCGGTGGCAGGTATCTGAGTGTTGCGGGGCTGTGGTATCATTTACGTGTGCGGGTGAGGAGGATGCCAGTGGCGTGGTGTGGACCGTGTGGAGTTTGGCCAGGGCGTTGGTTGCGCAGGCCGTCGTATCTCGAGCGCCACGAGTGGAGGGGGGGAAGGAGTCACTCACGGGGAGTGCGTGCAGGGGGGGAAGGAGTCACTCACGGGGAGTGCGTGCAGGGGGGGAAGGAGTCACTCACGGGGAGTGCGTGCAGGGGGGGAAGGAGTCACTCACGGGGAGTGCGTGGAGGGGGGAAGGAGTCACTCACGGGGAGTGCGTGCAGGGGGGGAAGGAGTCACTCACGGGGAGTGCGTGGAGGGGGGGAAGGAGTCACTCACGGGGAGTGCGTGGAGGGGGGGAAGGAGTCACTCACGGGGAGTGCGTGGAGGGGGGGAAGGAGTCACTCCCAGCGAGTTGCACTCCAGGGGCCCCGGGGGCTTTTGCTGGGAATTCGATCCCCGTCTGCGGCGTTCACGACGCGCGCCGTCGCTCCGCCGCGGAATGAGACGGCGCGCGTTCATTTGAATGTCAGGGGTCGGACCGCTCACAGGGGTCACGCGCGGATGAATGCGGCGCTCAGTGATGAAGGCCAAGACCTCTGCTCACCCCCCCTCCCCTTTCGCCTCCAAGCACAAGCACGGCTGTTTGCGCCCTCCACAACCATCGCTATTGTCCTGCAGACAATGCCCACCCCCCCCACCCCACTGTGCCCCTCCACGTGGGCCCCCACTTGCCCGCCCCCCCCCCCAAATTGGGGCCCCTCGCGCGGTGCCACAAGCGATGATTTCGAGCCCGCGCCGCGTAGCGTGAGAGCGGAAACACAGCAACGTGGGCCCTAAGAGGGCGGAATGTCCCGGTGCCACCAGCGACACGAGCAGCGGGCGGCACGCCGACACGGTGAGGGCACGGGCCCGGCCCGGCAGCGCCGCGTGCCTTGCGTGTCGCCCGCAGTCGTCGGTGGTGCGTGACAGTCGTCAGCGTGCGTCCGGCAAAGCCTCGTCGAGCCGCACGACTCGTTTTCGAGAGAGTACTGCCTCAACAAGGACGTCTGACCAATTTGTGTGGTTTTAATCGGGAAGTGTTTTGAAACCGGAGCGCCGGTGTCGGCTCGCGTGAGTGGTGTGGTTAGGGCGAGTGTCTGGGATACAGGCAAAGTGTAGCTGGGGCACGGGTTATTATCTGGCTAGCCCGTGTAGCTGGGGCACGGGTTATTATCTGGCTGGCTCGTGTAGCTGGGGCACGGGTTTTTATCTGGCTGGCTCGTATAGCTGGGGCACGGATTATTATCTGACTGGCTCGTATAGCTGGGGCACGGGTTTGCTCATGTAGATGGGGCACGGGTTATTATATGACTGGCTCGTGTAGATGGGCACGGGTTAATATCTAACTGGCTCGTGTACCTGGGGCACGGGTTATTATCTGGCTGGCTCGTGTAGCTGGGGCACGGGTTTTTATCTGGCTGGCTCGTGTAGCTGGGGCACGGGTTATTATCTGACTGGCTCGTATAGCTGGGGCACGGGTTATTATCTGACTGGTTCGTGTAGCTGGGGCACGGGTTATTATCTAGCTGGCTCATGTAGCTGGGGCACGGGTTTGCTCGTGTAGATGGGGCACGGGTTATTATTTGACTGGCTCGTGTAGATGAGGCACGGGTTATTATCTGACTGGCTCGTGTAGCTGGGGCACGGGTTTACTCGAGTAGATGGGGCACGGGTTATTATCTGACTGGCTCATGTAGCTGGGGAACGGGTTATTATCGGGCTGGCTCAAGTAGATGGGGCACGGCTTATTATCTGGCTGGCTCGTATTGCTGGGACACGGGTTATCATCTGGCTGGCTCGTGTAGCTGGGGCACGGGTTATTATCTGGCTGGCTCGTGTAGCTGGGGCACGGGTTATTATCTAGCTGGCTCGTGTAGCTGGGGCACGGGTTATTATCTGACTGGCTCATGTAGCTGGGGCACGGGTTATTATCTGACTGGCTCATGTAGATGGGGTACGGGTTATTATCTGGCTGGCGTGTAGCTGGGGCACGGGTTATTATCTGGCTGGCTCGTGTAGATGGGGTTCGGGTTATTATCTGGCTGGCTCTTGTAGATGGGGTTCGGGTTTGTGTCTGGCACGTGTAGATGGGCTCGTGTCTTGTCGGCTAGGGCGAGTGTCGCGTGAGCTCCTCTCCTTCCCCACTCTCGAGTTGGTCTCGTTCAGTTTTTGTTGTTTGAAGTTTCGCTCTTTGGCGTCTCAACCCCCCCCCCCCCCTCAATCTCCCCCATCGCCGCCCCGCCTCCCCATCCCACCCCCCCAATCCCCCCACTCCACCTCCCCGCCCCCCGCCTCCCCCAGTATTCACCTTCAACAGAGCAGTCGGTGGTCTGGCTCACGACCCCCGTGCCGTTCTCCTTATCCGCCGGCCACTGGTACAGGGTCACCTTGGTGTGCGAGGAGCCCGCGTCCAGCACCACGCCGTACTGCGTGGCCGCGTGCGGGTGGCGGGTGGTGGGCGAGGGGAGGGAAGGGGGGGCAGGGGTCAGGGTGAGAGGCACGCCGATGGGGAGAGGCAACACGTGCCAGACAAGGACAGGAGGTCAAACGTCCCCGACCTCTTTTTTGTTTTCAGAAGTCGATCCAATTGTGACCCCAAAAAGTCCTCTCAGCGTCGTAACTCAATTCTGATCTCTAGCACGGAGCCAGTGCGATAGACACCCCGCGTGTTCGATAATGAAATGGCCCCGTGGAAGGAGATATCATGAAGCTTATTCATGAAATGAAACTAAACTGAATGACTAAACACATTTTTTGTATTTTACCAGGTAAGGCCCACTAAGCTGTGCAGCTCATTTTCAGAAGCCACCTTGCCACAAATGGTAGCTCAACGAAGTGGCTTGTCACGTGGAAAATGACAGCAGCCAAATACTCTAAACGCATGATTCTAAATGTGTAGGGAAAAAACGGAGGACCCGGAGAAAAATCCACGCGACTACGGGGAGAACACGCAAACAGGCGTCAGGCTCGGGATCGAACCCACGACCTCCTGTACACCAGGCGTGGTAGTCAACATCTCCTAGCCACCGGGTAGGGGCAGCACTTCCCCACGTGATCTGCTGTGGTGCTGTTCGTCACGTGCCGGGCCAGGCAACCCAACTCGTTAATTTTTAATTCCCAGAGTTGGAATTTCGCCAAATGAGGTTGAAAGCACTAAAGTAAGTTAATGTTATTCGCTTGTTTTCAATATGTATTCACTGTACCCTGTCACGTGGCTCGGCGGTGTTGCAAGTTCACATCCTGGCTGGGGTTGACTCGGACCATCATCTATCCCCCTGGGGTCAATAAGATTAGTGCCAGTTGTGGAGAAGTTAACAGTGGTTATCCGTTAGATAGACTCATCCCCGCGATATTAATGTGATATTTCCACCGCTGACTCAGAGCTATAAACGGGAGTCGAGACCCACCTATACGCTCATTTGAGCAGGAAATCACTCTGACTTTTGACCGTTCATCATCCCCCTGGGGTCAATAAAACCAGTACAGTACCATTTGTGGGGAGGTCAACAGTGGTTATCCTGTGGATAGACACAGACTCATCCCCGCGATATAAATGTGAAACTTTCAGCCACTGCCTCAGGGCTGTAAACGGGAGTCTAGCGCCTGCCTTAACGCTCCTTGGTACGGGAAATCCCTCTGACTTTGTACTCTGCCTTTCCTCTTCAATGGCCTCTCGAGCTGAAACCGAGAGCGAGCCCACGCGTGGACCGCCCGGGCTGCGTCTGCTCGGACGCGAATTCACTTCTCGCGATGGGGAGGGGGAGAGGGCTGCTCTTCGCATCACCCCACGCCAACTCAGCCCCCTCCCCCCTCTCAGCCCAGCCACAAACAGCACTCCATCGCGGGCAGTGGAATCGCCTGGGGCTAATGCAAGTGGTCGAGGAAGTGACTGTTCCACGTCGGCACTCGGGAGAGACGCGTGGGAGTTCGCAGGGAACATTTCATTTTCCCTGCAACGCTCAGAGATCCAAGGGCGGCTCTTTTCGGACCGGGCAGTGCGCTCAGCTGCTGCTCCCGCTGCTGCTGCGGGAATCACCAGCAGCAGCAGCAGCTCCCGCGTATTCGAATCTCAAATCGCAGTTCAACACGGGAAACCACTTCGTAAGTCGCTTACATAAGAGGCCTTCTTTCCTGGTCTTGGCATGGAAACGGGACAGGGAAGGAGATTCATGCATGCGCACCGTGGATTCTTAACAAACAAAAAAACCGCTTTGCTTTGTTGCTATAAATAGATGCGTGCTACCGGCTCTGGCGACTTGGATCACAAAACATTGGAGTTGAGCATTGACCGTGGCAAGTGGGGGGCGGGTGGGGGGGAATAGACAGACGCGTGTGGAGGAGGGGCGCACACTTGGAATTACATTGAGAGACAGATGAACGCGTGGCTTAGAGGATATACACAGGTTAATTACGTAATTCCAACTGCTAAGAAGAGTAATAGGAACTCGGGACGATGGCCGACGGTCAGGAGTAATGCCCGGAGTGGCAGTCAAGGGATAGAATGGCTCCGAGAGAAAAGCCAAAAGGCGTTGGTTGTCATGGACCCTGCATTGTGCAAGCGGATGGAATGGGGCCCCCTGTCCAATGTCCTCCCTGTTCGTAGCCCGCAGTTTGTGCCCCTCTGGCCCCGCGCGCACCGGTGGAGTTGCACCGCCTGCACGCTCGACAGCTGCGCCACTTGCCCCATTAATTTCAGTGGCGAAGCAGGAATCGCCATCAGTCAACAAAGTCGGGCTCGAGCCGACGACGACGGGATTTCCTCCGCGTGCCCAAGGGTCCGCGAGCGAGCGAGCGTGCACGCACCTTGAGCGGAACTTGGGGCACAGCTTTGCTCGCGTTCCACGACACGAAGAGCGCCACGAGGCCCGTGACCCCCAGCACGAAGAGCGCGAGGCCCGCGGCGCGCCAGAGGCGCGGGCGCGCACGCAGCGCAGACTCGATCCCCATGGCGAACTGCGCGCAGCGGGGGAGACACGGGGGAGACACGGGGGAGAAAAGGGGGAGACACGGGGGAGACACGGATGGAGGCACCGGAGGGCGGGGGGGGGGGCACGAGGGAGACACGAGAAAGACATTGAGAGAAGCGGATACACGCAGAGACACATAACAGAGAGACACGGGCGGTGGAAATGTGGAGACACCGAGACCACACAGGTGAATGTACGGAATCGCCCCGCAGGGGGGCATCGGGGAGGGACAGAGACACTGAGACACCGAGACTGGAACAGAGACACTGACATACTGAGACTGGGGCAGAGACACAAAGACAACAAGACTGAGACACAGAGACACCGAGAGAGAGACGCTGCGAGAGGCAGACAGATAGAGAGAGAGCCAGAGACACAGAGACACCGAGAGGCAGACAGACAGACAGAGAGAGAGCCAGAGACACAGAGACACCGAGAGTCAGACAGACAGAGAGAGAGCCAGAGACACAGAGACACCGAGAGGCAGACAGACAGACAGACACAGAGAGAGCCAGAGACACAGAGATACCGAGAGGCAGACAGAGAGAGCCAGAGACACAGAGACACCGAGAGGCAGACAGACAGACACAGAGAGAGCCAGAGACACAGAGACACCGAGAGGCAGACAGAGAGAGCCAGAGACACAGAGACACCGAGAGGCAGATAGAGAGAGCCAGAGACACAGAGACACCGAGAGGCAGACAGACAGACATAGAGAGAACCAGAGACACAAAGACACCGAGAGGCAGGCAGACAGAGAGAGAGCCAGAGACACAGATACACCGAGAGGCAGACAGAGAGAGAGCCAGAGACACAGAGACACCGAGAGACAGACAGACAGAGAGAGATAGAGCCAGAGACACAGCGACACCGAGAGGCAGACAGACCCGGCGAGAGATAGAGCCAGAGACACAGAGACACCGAGAGACAGACAGACAGAGAGAGATAGAGCCAGAGACACAGCGACACCGAGAGGCAGACAGACCCGGCGAGAGATAGAGCCAGAGACACAGAGACACCGAGAGACAGACAGACAGAGAGAGATAGAGCCAGAGACACAGCGACACCGAGAGGCAGACAGACCCGGCGAGAGACACCAAGAGAAGGACGCCGAGAGACACTTGCGTTCTCGATCTCCGCTCACTCGTGGTTTCACTCTCACGGTCTCCGCATGTTTACCTATCCCTTTGCGCTCCCTTTGCGTCCCTTTGACTCTCGTCGTCAACACCTGGACGAACTGCGGGGACCCCGGAGCCCCACGGGACACTTCCTGCGAGGCCTGGGAGCGATTAAGGGGGAGGGTAAAGATGTGGGGGGGGGGGGGTGGCGTTAAGCGGCGCTGCCTTTGGGGTTGACAGGCGCGCGGTGGGGGCCCAATCAGAGCCACGTGGTGACCTCCGCCTCCCAACCTCATAATCGAGACACGGCCTCCACCTCCTCACGGCGTTGCTGTTGCTGCTTCACGCCCTCGTCAGACAAGAGGTGCCCGAGCCAGCCAGCCCTGCCTTCATCCTGTGGGAGTCGCCCTTGTGGTTCTCCCACAAACATATGCAGCGGTGCATCTCGCTGTAACTGTCGGTGCCACGGTGGCGAGATGTTAACTACCTCGCCTGGTCTAACTAGGCGGTTGTGGGTTCGATTCCGCACACCTGACGCATGCTGTATATTTGCATGTTCTCCCAGTGGTCGCGTGGATTTTTTTTCTCCGCGTCCTCCGGTTTGTCCCTCCACGTTTAGAAACATTCGTCGATATTATTTCGAGTACGTGGCTGCCAGAAATGTCCACGTGATAAGCCATTCGTTCAGCTCTCATTTGTGATAGCCAGGTCGCTTCTAAAATACGTAATAGGTCAGTGGGCTTTAAACTGTTAAGATTTGTTTTTTTTTAATAGTTTAGTTGTATCTGTACATATGTTTACATTTGTTTACATTTCCGATACTTTGTACTCTTATTGTGTCTTTGTTTTGTTTGTTGTTGTTACGTTCTGACCTGCCCCTACTGGACATCTGTGAAAAGGAGCTCTATAGCTCATCAGATTCCTCCTGCAGTGTAAATAAAGATTCTGATTCTGGTGGCGCATTGCACCCATGATCCAGCGTCCAAGGGACGCGAGGTCGATTGCAAGCCCTGTGTGCTGACCATCGTCCTGCAATGCAGCAGCACGCTCCTGAGCGACATGCCCTCCTCGGTTGGTAAATTGGCCTTGACACCCAAGACTTGGCCTGGTGATGCAGGGACATGGGGCGTTAATCCTGGGAGCCTTTCGTGGAAAACCCAACAAAAGCCACACCCACACACCCACGCAAAGACAAAGATCTCCCGTATAGCCTGAGCAGACTGTTGGGGCAAGTGCAGTTATCGAGCACCTATGAAGGCCGGCACGGAACACGAAGGGGGGTGGGTGACCAGCACCACTCCCGGCCGCCTTTATCTCCCCAGTGGCGATATTTACACACCGCACCGGGTACTCATTCGAGGCTGAGTCGATCTATGGGAGGCCCAGGAACGTGGTCGATTTCACGCCCTCGGTTCGTTTTGTGGAATGCGCTAGCCTCTACGCTATCGCTCCCCCACAGACAAACACACAACACAACAAAATAAAGATCCCCCCCCTCTCCCCCATAGCCTCACAGACCGTTGGGGCAAGTGCTGTTAACGAGCACCTACGAAGGTGCTCGAAGGGATAGGTGGGCAGCGCCACGCCCGGCCGCCTTTGTCTCCCCCAGTGGCGATGTTTACACGCCACTGAGGCTGAGTCCGCCTACACACGCAGGCGCGTCCCACAGTGGGGGACGGGGCTGTCCCCCACTTCCTCCCTCGTTCCCTCCGGATTCACGAGGCACGCGCACTCCCACGCGCCTCTCTCTGATCTCGCGTGCCCGTGTGGAGTTCGCCTTCATTCGCTGGCGAGGAGCAGCCGAGGGATGCCCCCAGAGTGCGTCGGCAAAAGAGGGAGACGTAAAATATCACACACAGGCATCACAGAGACAAAGACACGAGGCAAACAAGACAAAGGTCCCCCGTATAGCCTCGACATATTTTTGAGACAAGTGCTGTTAGCCAGCACGGCACACGAGGGGGTTGGGTGGCAAGCACCACGCCCGGCACACACAAAGACAAACACAAACACACAATCACAAACACACACAATCACACACACAAACACACACACAAACATACAAACACACACACAAACATACAAACACACACACAATCACACACACACAAACACACACACACTCACAAACATACACACAAACACACACAAAATCACACACACAAACACACAAAATCACACACACAAACATACAAACACACACAATCACACACACACAAACGCACACACAATCACACACACAAACACACACACACAAACACACACACAAACACACACACACAATCACACACACACAAACACACACAATCACACACAATCACACACACAAACACACACAATCACACACACAATCACACACACACAAACACACACACAAACACACACACAAACACACACACACAATCACACACACAAACACACACACAATCACACACACAATCACACAAACACACACACAAACACACACAATCACACGCACAATCACACACACATACAATCACACAATCACACGATCGCACACACAATCACACAGAAACAACAAAGACTCGATAGGTTCGTCAGTAGCGCGGCGCTACGACAAGAAACGCAGTCTCTCTGGGCACGGCCATGAACCCCAAACAAAAACCAACCCAAGCCAGCTGCAGATGGGGAGAAGTGATTATGGCCTCCACGGCTACTGTGGTCAACCACCCAGGATAGAACAACCGCGGAACTCATCGACGACGACTGATCAACTACTCGGCTGTTTAAGAAACAAGCAGGAGGAGGCGGCATCGTCACGGCGATGCTGCACAACTCCGCCACTCCTCACACAATCATCTGGCTCATCGACCAACCTCGGTGTACAATTGTAGCCGTCGCTCTGCGTCCACAACAAGCTACACGAAGAAGAAGCTGCCCGCGATAAAAGGGGAAATATAAAATAGTCGGCGGTTCGAGCGACGGGTCTGCTTCGTTGCCTGTGTAGTGACATCGCACCACGTGGATGTGGGTGCAGTAGCGGCCCTAGAGGGGCACGGTGAGCGGTGTTGCGACATCACGGGCACCACGTGGATGTGGGTGCAGTAGCGGCCCTAGAGGAGCTCGGTGAGCGCTGAATGACAGTGCTGGATGGCACCACGCTCTGCGTGCAGTGCCGGCCCCTACAGGATAGGGTGCGGGAGTGCCGGCCATGGGAATGGGGTTACTAAAGGCCGTGACACTCTGGTTGACCCCGAAGGACACGTGACCGGTTAAGTCTACACAGGGGCCCCAGGTGGGGGCTCGGGGTGGTCACGTGTCAGGGTCGAGATCCTGCTCGAGGGTTCTGGAAGGCGGTCGTGGCCAAAGGAGCCGGCCACGCCACAGAGGATATAAGCCGGGTCCCCCAGAGGCACCGGCGCTGTTGTTCATCCTGAAGAAATCTTCGTTCTACGTCCTACAGAGTCTCCAACACGTGGACCTGAACCCAAGCTGTGGTCCGGTCCGTAGTAGCTAGTCACGGAGTAATTAGTGTAGTTAGCCTGGTAGTTACCACCTGGCTAGCTGGTGGTCACCACCTGGCTAGCTACACAGGTCACGGAGTAATTAGTGTAGTTAACCTGGTGGTCACCACCATAGGTTGTTATCCTGTTAAGGGGCAGTTACCCCGTGTGTTGGTGTTAATACATGTGTTGCCTCCGAAGAGTAGGTCTGCGACTCAGTTGAACTCACCACACCTATAATAGGCTACGCCTCTTCTTTAGCGCATAACACGTCGTAGGGGCATTGCCTAAAACGTCGCCTATGTACATGTGATTTCCTTTGTCGGGCCGCAGCGTTGCCGACGGATGTGTTTGGGTTGTTGCCATCGCATCAGGAGGGAGACACCGTCAGGAGCCCTCGGCCGGTCGACACGCATGGCAAGGCTGGGCGAGGAGGAGAAGGCGGGGGTGGGGTAGAGGTGGTTAGAGAGGGGGGGGGGGTAGATAGAGGGAGGGGTAGAGAGGGGGGTAGAGAGGGGGGGTGGTTAGAGACGGGGGGTAGAAAAGGGGAGGGGAAGAGAGGGGGGGGTAGAAAGAGGGAGGGGTAGAGAGGGGGGTAGAGAGGGGCAAGGTAGAAAGAGGGAGGGGTAGAGAGGGGGGTAGAGAGGGGGGGTGGTTAGAGAGGGGGGGGGTAGAAAGGGGGAGGGGTAGAGAGGGGGGGTAGAAAGAGGGAGGGGTAGAGAGGGGGGTAGAGAGGGGCGAGGTAGAAAGAGGGAGGGGTAGAGAGGGGGGTAGAGAGGGGGGGTAGAAAGAGGGAGGGGTAGAGAGGGGGGTAGAGAGGGGGGGGGGGTGGTTAGAGAGGGGGGTAGAAAGGGGGAGGGGTAGAGAGGGGGGTTAGAAAGAGGGAGGGGTAGAGAGGGGGGTAGAGGGGGGTAGAAAGAGGAAGGGGTAGAGAGGGGGGTAGAGAGGGGGGTAGAGAGGGGGGGTAGAAAGAGGGAGGGGTAGAGAGGGGGGTAGAGAGGGGGGGTGGTTAGAGAGGGGGGGTAGAAAGGGGGAGGGGTAGAGAGGGGGGGGGTAGAAAGAGGGAGGGGTAGAGAGGGGGGTAGAGAGGGGGGGTGGTTAGAGAGGGGGAGTAGAAAGGGGGAGGGGTAGAGAGGGGGGTAGAGGGGGGTAGAAAGAGGAAGGGGTAGAGAGGGGGGTAGAGAGGGGGGTAGAGAGGGGGGAGGGGGCACTCGACGCTGACGGCTTCTCTCCGCAGCTCGGGGCAGAGGTGGGAGGGGGAGCGAGGCCGTTGGGGGTGCGGTAGAGGGGGTCCGTTGGGGGGTGGGGGGCGCTCGCTCGAATTGAGCTCCGCGAGTCTTTGTCATGGAAATCGCCGCGCTTGACCGAGAGCCGAGGCGACCTGGCCTGGCTCCCGGCCTCGTCCCCCGAGTTCCCGCTCGGAACTCCTCAGTCGACGACTGTACGTCTGTGAAAAAGAGCTGTGTAGTAATAAAAGGGTTTTACCCTTTTATCTGGCAACAAAACTGACACCTTTTAACAAGGGATCATGCCTTGCGTTAACCACAACACTTGAGGTCAAAATGCACACAAAAAGACAACACTGATAGTGTATGCACTGTCCTTGAAATTGATTGGTCCACACCCGAGACAGTTTTTCTTTGAGCTCAGTCTCACATGGTGTTGGACCAGATGACGCCAAAAGGCTCACAACTCAAAGGCAACGCACCATGAGAGTATTGAGAGCTGTGTAGCTCATGGGATTGCTCCAGCATGAATAAACACATCTGATTCTGACTCGAGCGCGCTGCGCTCAGCTAAAGGGGCTGCTCGTGGCCCAAATAATACTCCTCATCATCATCATTTGTCGCACAACATTTCACTCCTAGACTCCTCACCAGCACCAGGACACCGAGACCGCAACATCCCGCTCCTCCGATCCCCTATACCGGCTTCCAATCCAGTCGAGGTCCTCCACAGACTTGCCTCTACCCACCTCTCCACTCTACTCCCCTCCACGCACTCTCCTCCCTCTCCCCTCTCATTTCACTCTCCTCCCCTCCACGCACTCTCCAACATCTCCCCTCTCATCCCACTCTACTCCCTTCCATAGGCTCGTCCACCCCTCCCGTCTCATCTCACTCCGCACACCGTCCAGGCTCAAGACGTTCCTCTGTTCGTCTGCCAATGAGCGACTGTCCCTCTCTCTCAGAGATTCAACCGGCCTCCGGCTTCCGTGCGGCGTCTTGAGACGCGGTCCCACACGGACGCCACCGGCGTGCACCCTGCGTGACCACTGCGTCGCGGCAGCGCTGATTGCCACCCCTCGCCACCTTTTTCCCAACACGAGGCTCCGTACCGAGTTTACACGAGGGGGGTCATCGCTACCACCACGATCATCAGCATCATCATGATCACCACGACCATCATCATCACCATAATCACCACCGCCACAGCGCAGCCCCGTGAAGCCGTGCTGCAGACATCATGCACTCCCAGAAGACCGTGTCGCTGATGGGATGTGTTAACAACGCGTGCTTGTGTGTGGAGGGACTGCCTTTTGTGTCGTGATCTAAAGCTCCCCCCCCCCCACACACCTCACCCCCACAGTGAAAGTGGACCCCGGATAGAGCCTCACCTTGATTGCGGTAGCCGACTCGGGGGAGACGGGGTCCTCTTGCGGTGCGTGGGAGCTCCTCGCCTCGGCCCAACTCACGCGTCCCACACCGCGCGTCTCCCAACGGAGCCTTCTCTCTCTCTCTCCCTTGTCTCTCTCCCTTGTCTCTCTCCCTTGTCTCTCTCCCTTCTCTCTCTCTCCCTTCTCTCTCTCCCCCTCCCTTCGCGCGCGTTTTTGTTTTTGAGGTTTTTTTTATTTTTTAGCAACGGTAACCAATCGTGACGTCATGAGCCCCGGAGCCGCGCGGGGTTCCTCCTCCCTCCTATTCCTCCCCCTCCTCCTCCTCGTCGTATCCTTCTGCTGCGCTCCTCTTCCTCCCCGCGATCTCCTCCCCTCGTCCTCTACTCCTCCTTCACGACTCCTCTCGTGTTTCCTCCGACTCTGCGCGCTCCTTGAGCAAACACCGACTCCGTTCCTCCCTCCCCCCTCCTCCTTCTGCAGCCGCCGCTGCTTCGCCATCCCTGCCCGTGGCGTGGATGGGTGGCGATGGGAGCAGTCCCTCATCCCGCTCCCTGCACCACCCAACTTGTGACGCCGGCACCAACCCGCAGCTCCAAGCTGCACCGCTCTCCCTGCCCGAGACACCCTGCGTCGCCCTGCACCCCGGGGCCCGGCCCGGACCACCCTGCACAACGATGGAGCATCTTCGGTGGCCGTGTGGACCCCGGTGGGACCCGCGTGTGGACCCCGGTGGGACCCGCGTGTGGACCCCGGTGGGACCCGCGTGTGGACCCCGGTGGGACCCGCGTGTGGACCCCGGTGGGACCCGCGTGTGGACCCCGGTGGGACCCGCGTGTGGACCCCGGTGGGACCCGCGTGTGGACCCCGGTGTAACCCGCGGGGCGGGGAGAGGTCCGCATTGGCGACTAAAGGCGAGGGGGCCGCGATGGGAGTCCACGCGGCGTGCGAAGTAGGGGGCACCATCACTACCTCCTCATTGTCCCCCCCGCCACTGCCCTCAGCAATCACGTGCGCGCAGAGTCCGCAGTTCGAGATGTCGCGTTACCTGCGCTCCGTCACCTGACTGAGATCCCACGTGTAGCCTTAACAGACTGTTTGAGGCAAGTGTTGTTCGCGAGCACCTGTGAAGGCCGGCACGGCACACGGGGGTGGGGGGCAGAACCACGCCCGGGCGCCTTTGTCTCCCTAGTGGCGACGTTTACTCTACACCGCAGCAGGTATTGTACTGATTTGAGGCTGAGTCGACCTAGGGGATGCCCAGGATCGGTGGAGATAATCGTCTCTGGCGTTGGTCGTGAGCGGGTCGCCGGGTTTCTTAGCGCAGCGCGATGAACGTCCACGCCTCAGTGTGTGTAGCCGAGTTGCCATCAATTCCGCTCGTTAAGGGATTTCCCGTTGCTTCAAAGCCGCTGCGAACGGAACCACATGCCCGCCCCCCACACCCCACACAGCCATCACGTGGGACGTACAGGAGCGCGCCCAATGTTTGCTATCTATCGTTTAGCCACTGAACATCATCTGCAGTCGTCGGCGTAACAGGGAGAGAGAGTGATTCCCATTTATAATCCCAATTATTTACCGAGGAAAAGCCTCAATGAGCCTTGAAACGCTCTGTCAGGAGGGTGCTGCTCCACCGGGTTGCTTGGCCGCGAATGCCACGAGCGGTGCGAGTTCGGCTCCGGAGACCCCCCGGAGACCCCCCGGAGACCCCCCGCACCGCGCTGCTGGACACGAGGGGGGTGGACACTCGGCACTGCCGTCTCTCACGGCCACAGCGCGCAACCTGGCAAGCCCCCATCCAGGCACGAGTCAAGCCTCAACCCTGCTGAGCTTCCGAGATCCGACGAGATCGGGCGCATACAGGGTGAGTGGGGCATTGCTGTGGTAGGCGTCACACAGGGTAGGTGTCACACAGGGCAGGTGTCACACAGGGTAGGTGTCACACAGGGTAGGTGTCACACAGGGCAGGTATTATACACACAGGGTAGGTGTCACACAGGGTAGGTGTCACACAGGGCAGGCATTATACACACAGGGTAGGTGTCACACAGGGAAGGTATTATACACACAGGGTAGGTGTCACACAGGGTGAGTGTCACACAGGGCAGGTGTCACATAGGGCAGGTATTATACACACAGGGTAGGTATTATACACACAGGGTAGGTGTCACACAGGGCAGGTGTCACACAGGGTAAGTGTCACACAGGGTAGGTGTCACACAGGGCAGGTGTCACACAGGGTAGGTGTCACACAGGGTAGGTGTCACACAGTGCAGGTATTATACACACAGGGTAGGTGTCACACAGGGTAGGTGTCACATAGGGCAGGTATTATACACACAGGGTAGGTGTCACACAGGGTAGGTGTCACACAGGGTAGGTGTCACACAGGGCAGGCATGATACACACAGGGTAGGTGTCACACAGGGTGAGTGTCACACAGAGCAGGTATTATACACACAGGGTAGGTGTCACACAGGGTGAGTGTCACACAGGGTGAGTGTCACACAGGGTGAGTGTCACACAGGGTAGGTGTCACACAGGGTGAGTGTCACACAGGGTAGGTGTCACACAGGGTAGGTGTCACACAGGGTAGGTGTCACACAGGGTGAGTGTCACACAGGGTAGGTGTCACACAGGGTAGGTGTCACAAAGGGTAGGTGTCACACAGGGTGAGTGTCACACAGGGTGAGTGTCACACAGGGTAGGCGTCACACAGGGTGAGTGTCACACAGGGTAGGTGTCACACAGGGTGAGTGTCACACAGGGTAGGTGTCACACAGGGTAGGTGTCACACAGGGTGAGTGTCACACAGGGTGAGTGTCACACAGGGTAGGTGTCACACAGGGTGAGTGTCACACAGGGTAGGTATCACACAGGGTAGGTGTCACACAGGGTGAGTGTCACACAGGGTAGGTGTCACACAGGGTAGGTGTCACACAGGGTGAGTGTCACACAGGGTGAGTGTCACACAGGGTAGGTGTCACAAAGGGTGAGTGTCACACAGCCTGAGTGTCACACAGGGTGAGTGTCACACAGGGTGTGTCACACAGGGTGAGTATCACACAGGGTAGGTGTCACACAGGGTAGGTGTCACACAGGGTGAGTGTCACACAGGGTGAGTGTCACACAGGGTGAGTGTCACACAGGGTAGGTGTCACACAGGGTGAGTGTCACACAGGGTAGGTGTCACACAGGGTGAGTGTCACACAGAGTAGGTGTCACACAGGGTGAGTGTCACACAGGGTAGGTGTCACACAGGGTAGGTGTCACACAGGGTGAGTGTCACACAGGGTAGGTGTCACACAGGGTGAGTGTCACACAGGGTAGGTGTCACACAGGGTAGGTGTCACACAGGGTGAGTGTCACACAGGGTGAGTGTCACACAGGGTAGGTGTCACACAGGGTTGGTGTCACACAGGGTGAGTGTCACACAGGGTAGGTGTCACACAGGGTAGGTGTCACACAGGGTAGGTGTCACACAGGGTGAGTGTCACACAGGGTAGGTGTCACACAGGGTGAGTGTCACACAGGGTGTGTCACACAGGGTGAGTATCACACAGGGTAGGTGTCACACAGGGTGAGTGTTACACAGGGTGAGTGTCACACAGGGTGAGTGTCACACAGGGTGAGTGTCACACAGGGTGAGTGTCACACAGGGTGAGTGTCACACAGGGTGAGTGTCACACAGGGTAGGTGTCACACAGGGTGAGTGTCACACAGGGTGAGTATCACACAGGGTAGGTGTCACACAGGGTAGGTGTCACACAGGGTGAGTGTCACACAGGGTGAGTGTCACACAGGGTGAGTGTCACACAGGGTAGGTGTCACACAGGGTGAGTGTCACACAGGGTGAGTGTCACACAGGGTAGGTGTCACACAGGGTTGGTGTCACACAGGGTGAGTGTCACACAGGGTAGGTGTCACACAGGGTAGGTGTCACACAGGGTGAGTGTCACACAGGGTAGGTGTCACACAGGGTGAGTGTCACACAGGGTGTGTCACACAGGGTGAGTATCACACAGGGTAGGTGTCACACAGGGTGAGTGTCACACAGGGTGAGTGTTACACAGGGTGAGTGTCACACAGCGTGAGTGTCACACAGGGTGAGTGTCACACAGGGTGTGTCACACAGGGTGAGTATCACACAGGGTAGGTGTCACACAGGGTGAGTGTCACACAGGGTGAGTGTTACACAGGGTGAGTGTCACACAGGGTAGGTGTCACACAGGGTGAGTGTCACACAGGGTGAGTGTCACACAGGGTAGGTGTCACACAGGGTAGGTGTCACACAGGGTGAGTGTCACACAGGGTGAGTGTCACACAGGGTAGGTGTCACACAGGGTGAGTGTCACACAGGGTGAGTGTCACACAGGGTAGGTGTCACACAGGGTGAGTGTCACACAGGGTGAGTATCACACAGGGTAGGTGTCACACAGGGTAGGTGTCACACAGGGTGAGTGTCACACAGGGTGAGTGTCACACAGGGTGAGTGTCACACAGGGTAGGTGTCACACAGGGTGAGTGGTCACACAGGGTGAGTGTCACACAGGGTGAGTGTCACACAGGGTGAGTGTCACACAGGGTAGGTGTCACACAGGGTGAGTGTCACACAGGGTGAGTGTCACACAGGGTAGGTGTCACACAGGGTGAGTGTCACACAGGGTAGGTGTCACACAGGGTGAGTGTCACACAGGGTAGGTGTCACACAGGGTGAGTGTCACACAGGGTGAGTGTCACACAGGGTAGGTGTCACACAGGGTAGGTGTCACACAGGGTGAGTGTCACACAGGGTGAGTGTCACACAGGGTAGGTGTCACATAGGGTAGGTTTCACACAGGGTAGGTGTCACACAGGGTGAGTGTCACACAGGGTGAGTGTCACACAGGGTGAGTGTCACACAGGGTGAGTGTCACACAGGGTTGGTGTCACACAGGGTAGGTGTCACACAGGGTGAGTGTCACACAGGGTGAGTGTCACACAGGGTAGGTGTCACACAGGGTAGGTGTCACACAGGGTGAGTGTCACACAGGGTGAGTGTCACACAGGGTGAGTGTCACACAGGGTAGGTGTCACACAGGGTGAGTGTCACACAGGGTGAGTGTCACACAGGGTGAGTGTCACACAGGGTGAGTGTTACACAGGGTGAGTGTCACACAGGGTAGGTGTCACACAGGGTGAGTGTCACACAGGGTAGGTGTCACACAGGGTGAGTATCACACAGGGTAGGTGTCACACAGGGTGAATGTCACACAGGGTAGGTGTCACACAGGGTGAGTATCACACAGGGTGAGTGTCACACAGGGTAGGTGTCACACAGGGTAGGTGTCA